TATGTTGGGTTATATCTGACTCAAGTCACTCCTTTTGAAACACTGAGCTAAGAGTCCAAATGTATCTCATCAGTGATTCCATGTGGGCCCCTAAAAACATCTCAAAAGGTTATTTTATTTCAGAACGTTATGAACTTCACTGGCAATGTTAAGTCGAACATTATTGTAATTAACTTTTAAAATTTTGAACAAAACTTGATTCCGCTCATCTTAACTGTTCCCCTTCTATTCTCTGATCCACACATGCGCTCACACATCCATGAAACTCTCCTTTCCCCTTCCTTATTCTGTAGCTTTGTTAATAGTGTGATTCTGCAATATTTACCAAATGTACATTAGAGACATTAAAGTACATGGCCCACATTTTAAAATGCTCTATTGATATTACATCAGGGGAACTGTGCTTGTGTCATTCATCGAAACGATCGCTGCTGAACGATATTAAAACGGCAGAAGAAGCTACAGTTTTTAAAATGGGACGTAGCACTTCAATCGTTGCGTTTACAGGAGGGAAAAACATGAGGCTAGATAAAGTAAATACTTTATCTAGCCTCGGATATGATTATTAATTTTCTGCTTTTTATGTTATTATAATAAACTAAATATCTTTGGGTTTGGACCTGACAAATCAAGACATCTGAAGACATTGCCTTGAACTTTTTAATGGACTACTTTCACTTAACAGTTTTGGGATCATCGCTTGTAAAATTGTTAGTTTCTGGATTACTGTATATTTAGATATGCGATGGCAAAATTGTTATTTTTGTTGACCAACCACGAGTGATCCTGCCTTAGAATTAAAATTGCCTGACAAAACAGGTGATGGAGAAATGATTTGCAAGAGACCAAAGCTGTTGTAATAACTAAAGGCTTCACCTTGTAGCGTAACTTAATGCTTGTTTCATATCTCTTAATGTCTTTAGTGTAAAAGACGTGTAACTGGACCTTTTGAGTGTATGAATACGTTTCACTAGAAAACCTGATACTTCCAGCTCAGTGTTAATCTTGTCACTTACGTTGAGTCCTTTTCTCCACCTCTGCAGGACTCACTGTGCTGAGATTGCCCACAACGTCTCCTCCAAGAACAGGAAGCTGATCGTGGAGAGAGCAGCTCAGCTGGCCATCAAGATTACAAACCCCAACGCCAGGCTCAGGAGTGAGGAGAACGAATAAACTGGTTATTCACAATAAACACTTTGAAATTGTATCAGTCTTGTGAGTGATTTCTTTTTTTTCTGCTCCTTATTACTTTATGACAGTGTTGTTGGACAGGTTTGCAAATAAACTGTTGGCATGATATACAATTAAAATGTTACGAGAGAGGACGGTTTGATAGCGTCTTTAAATCTTTTAATTGGGGTGGGGGGGAATGTGAAAAACTTCACATTCCCAGACTTTAATTGGAAATCATCAAATTTCCCCAAGTCTGTTTCATGTTTTTTTTTCCACAGCAAGACTTTTTTTTTTTTTTTTTTCTGTCAGCTTCAAGCTGGTATCTTTAGTGGGGTTGATGGTCTTAATTTCTAGATGCTGAATGTTTAACACATTGCAGCATGAACAGGAGTTATAAATGGTGCCATTCAGTTTAGGCATAATAACTGAGATCAAGGCCATTTTCACTCAGTGCACAAGCATCAGAGCAATTCAGAAAAGCTCACACACATGAGTTGGTGTCTTCACCGATGGCTACAGAGCTGTGTGCTCGGTCGGGTAAACAGGGTTTTTTCCCCCGTTAGAACGAAAGGAGCAAAGGCCCTGAAGAAGAGTGTTGACCTGTATTATGGAAGAAGGCCATGTAACAGCAGTTTTCCTTTAATGATGCCATGTTTATATTTAGTAAAAGAGAACAGTCATAGAGATTAAAAGGCTTTTTGCCATTTGGGACTCTTTTTGTTTTAAAAAAATCTAATTCTTTTGAAATTGCTTTAATGATGTGTATTTTCCCAATTTACAAATTACTGTTATCTAGTTCTACGTAAAACATTAATTAGAGCATTCAGAATAATAATTATCTTCTATTTCCATTTCATCCAGCTAGATGTTTACCTCATTCCAAATCAGACTTCTCTGACATCTACATTTTTATAAATAAAAAATAAAAAAACAGGTTTTTAATAAAAGGAGTACACCAAGCTGTAAACGTAGAAGTTTAAAACACTGGAAGGCAAGAATATAGTACGTCAAATAGGGATTCATGTTATCAAATTCAAATACTGTATGCCTATTGGATGCCACTTACATAGAAGGTTGGAAGTCTATTTGGCATCGTGTGTCAGTATGTCTTGACAAATCCCTGATATGCTGACTTAATAAAATATCAGAAGTGATTACCTTTTAATGTCCAGCTCAGATTGTATATTTTTGGTTGTTTGGTGTGTGTAGTGCTTGCTCCCTGCAGAGAAAGTTTCCATTGCATTCTGGCAGACAAACTGCCCCACAGCCCTGAGCCCTCTGCCATCTGCTCCTCAAATACTGACATTGCCAGAGACGCAAAAATAAACATAATGTCTATTTCATCACGCACAGTTTGTATCTGGAAAACAGTTAGTGTTGGATCTTAATCTTTCTTCTAAAAAAAACCAAAAAAAAAAACCAAACCTTGACCTGTTAGTGGATTTGTTTCGGTAAAGACCCCCACGAGAGGGCTGGAAGTTCTCCAGAGTGGGAGGGGAAGAGAAAAAACAGCAGGACAGGGAGAGGCTGCGATGTCTGAGAGATGCTGAGAGTCTCAGAAAGAGGAACGGATTCATTTTTTCCCCCCCTTGTCACTGGACACAAAATGAACATGTCAGCAAGGGTAGTGTTTGGAAAGGGGCGCCTCGCTCCCAAGCAGCTCGCATTCGCTTTCCCCAAGACGGAATCTCTGAGGAAAGGCAGCCGGTCTGCGGGAGGGAAGAGGAAGATGTTCTCTTTTTCTATTAGGTGTCGCCTGGGAGTCATCAGAGGGAGAACCAAAGGTAAATCTACCAGAAGAGCTAAATCATGTCTTTGAAAACTTTGAAAGTAATATAATTCTGTTGAAAAAGTCGTCTACTTATTTGATCATTTTTTGCATTCATATAAAAGAAGAGTTTGTTGCTGGCACGAAAATCTTTGTTTTAAAGAACTGATCTTTATTTTAATATTCTTCAAGAGTCATCAGCTTACATTTAGACCTGAACACGTTTAAACCGAAAGACAAAACGTGTAAAAGATCTCTGTTACATGTATCCTTGTTCAGTCAGATTTATATGTAATGTGTGACATCCTAACCTTGGGATGATTTTTTTCTGTCACACTGTTCTTCGCTGGCTGAAACTTCAGTCTTCATTTTTGCTTCCCAGACTCTCGTTTGAAAGTTGCATCTGAATGTAACCACCATGAGATGGCAGTGTGGTCAGCTGACAGAGGAGCAGGTTTACATTGCAGTCCATCCTATTATAACTGTAATTTCCATTTCTGTATAATTGCAACGACGACTACTCTAAAAAGAATATTGTTGAAAATTGGGAGAAAGAAAAACCCTCAAGCAGCATTCAATACAAACCACAAAGTCAAACGTCAATCTTTATTAAATCTTAAGCCCTTTAACATTCACTGGTCTCTCTTCTGTTGGAGCATGTTTGTGTGCCAAGGTCAATGCAAAAAGAATGCAGGTCCTCTATTTGTTATATCATCTCTCACTCCGCATTGATGATCTCGATTGAGGAATCGCAAAACAATCCATTTTTACCATGAACCAACATTTCCCACTTGATTCCCATAGGTTTTTCTTATCAGTTCAACGCACTACGCCATCTCCCTCTTGTCTTTTATTCTGTCTGAAATTAATTAGTCTTGCTCTGAAAGACTACGCTCACTCACGTTGTAAATGGGCTATTAAGGACAAACGTCTCCCAGGAAATTATCCTGAATCCTGAGGAGCATTGAGTCCACTGGAACAGCTGACTATAGGCTCCATGCAACAGTGGGTAGAAATGTTTGTTTTGTAATCACTGTATACATATGTCAAATGCGCAGTCAGAGAATAAGAGGGCATACTGTCCATTTTTAAAATGTTGTGGCAGTATCTGTTTCTTTTTGTCCTCATGCTGACAAAACTGTGCCTGCAGTGACCAAAACAAATGAGGCAGAAGAGGCCCTAAGGAGCCGCCAGTGAGGCTTTGGGAAGCCGTCTGTTGTTGTGTTAGTTGGTGGTGGTTGCAGTGGGGCTCAGGGAGAGGCAGGCGTCAAACTTTGAGTGTGAGACAAATAGTCAGACAGGTGTGTGGTGAAGGGTCAGTAGCAGACCCTCTGTTTTGGGGTCCTTTTGCATTCCTGAGGGAGAGACACGAGATGCCAGGCCTCATTTTTGTCAAATCAAATTTAAAAGATGTTTTTGTTTTTCTTCTACCTGCACATCATTCATTTGTTGTTGTTTTTTTTCATGATTGCCATTTGTTCAGGAATGAAATCTGTCATTACAGCCTCAAGGCGCCACAACTGGACTTCTTATTAGCGCAGGTCATATCAACATGTTCTCAAACAGGCAGCTGCTCTGCACAGGAATCTTGCACATGCATTTTCCACTATGTGCTTATGTGTGTGGGTGAGAGAGGGAGATACTAGCACTGTGTGGATACAAGCTGTGTGAAACGGGTGCAGTCTCTTATGTGGGAAAAACGTGACACTCTGCAGGGCTCAGTATGACAATGAATGTGCAGGTGGTGTTAATTGTGCCGGGAGTTGAGTGTGTGCAGTTTTGTCGTGTCTAAGAGTGTGGGTGGGTTTGAGGATGTGCATTAGAGGGGTGTTTGACTTGGTGGGAAATGGATAAGGAGTGTGTGCATGTATGTGTGTGTGTGTGTGTGTGTTTGTGTGTGCTGGGGGAGGGAGTGACTCTCGTGTGTGCCTGCCTCACTGAACCCCTCTGGCAAAGAGAGAGAGAAAGAGAGAAAGAGAGAGAGAGAGATAGAGAGAGGGAGAGCAAACACACTCACTCCAGCTCTGTATGAGAGAGAGAAGGGTTATGTGTGAGCTCATGTGAGCGTATGAACGGGGGGATGATAAACCCCTCTGGAAAAGGACGAATGATTAGTAAGAATAGCTCAAAATGGAACCGCGACAAGATGGCAAGAAAAGGACATGAACCTTTGCTCTCACTGCTTTGGATTTTGAAAGAAAAACAGAGCTTTGTAGATTTCAGAATTTGAAGGATAGATGGGGATGATTTAACATCAACATCTTTTGTCAACAAGTTTTAGAAAGAGAGGACCATCTGAGGATCAGAATTCTGCGCGTTGGAGCACAGATCCTTTGCTGGCTTTTTGACTCAGGGGCAAGGGTTAAGGAAATGTTAGGGAAAGGAGTGAATGAACGAGGATGGTGTTGTGTCTGAGCGGCTGAGACTCTCGGGTGACGTTCTCTCACCTCAAGTGTGCTGGGAACCTCAGCTCTGTGCCCACTGCTCCAAATCAGCAAGGTTACTTCCAGAGGGGGGCTGCGCTGCGTAAACTACAGCCATGCTGTGTGGTCTGAGGAGAGACGCCAAGAACAGCACTGGTAAGAGCACCACACTTTGGACACTGGAGTATTTGTGTCTCAGGAGGGGGTTCACTGATTATCTGGATCAATAAGTACCCTATGAAGAGCGGATTATGTGTGGTTCATTCGTGGCAGCACCTTCAGCTGAAAAGTATTCTGTTACCTGTCATCAAATTAGCATGCGTGTGAATGACTGTGCTTTATACTATGGTTGTGTTTGAGATTGAAATGTCTGTGGAGCTCTTCATACCATCCTGCCATGTGTTACTGGGGCAAATATAGCAAGTGAAACTGGGTCTGGCTGGACATAGTTTATAAATAAAGTTTCACATCTGAAAATAGCTTTATGATTTCATTGTCATTTTCAGTGCCACCCCCATATTTAACCTACATTCTGATTGGTTTTGGGAGAGGTTGCATTCAGTGCCCTGAATTAATTCAGAAGTTAATTAACTCACACGATATTTATGCAGGACAAAAGAATCTTATTTTAGTCAGCGCAACGCTCCAAGGTCCTTTAGACGCTGCGTTTCTGCCAAACCTCATCCTGGATCCCCCTTAACTGACCTCCTCTGAGCGTGGACTGTTTTTTTTTCTCTCTGTCCAGTAGTTGTTTCATTGCTGGGGCTGCTTATTAATCAGCTCCATCCTAAACTTCATTCTTACCGCTAGGATTAACGATGGTTATTTTAAGCTAGGGGAGGATGACTTGAAGGTACAGTAGTGCTCAGTCACGTGCAGAGTGTGGGGGTCTGCGTTACCCAGAGCTAACGTTGCCTTTTGACTGCAATGACAGCTGCTGGACTGTCAGGGGCCCTCAGGAGTCCGCGTGGTAACAAGGCTTTTGTCCAGATTACTGTGTTTGTGATGTGTCACTCACGTTGTGTTTGTGCCTCACAGCTGCCGGATGGGACACTTTGTGCAAGGATGTGTGTAAATCAGTGTAAAATGCCATATTATAAATATGTATCACCTATACATTGACATCAAACTGCCAAGTCATTTTTAAGATATTCCTATAGTTAAGGTCTGAATCATGCAGCTGTGAGCAGAAGATGGCGGGATTTTAGTATTAAGGGCCCACGCAGAGGTTTCAGGTCAAAGATGTTTGACAAAGGATCCGTGCCTCTCAGCTGTCTAAAGGCTTCATCTTCAGTCAGGCAGATGTGGAAGAATGATGTGGACAAGGGAGAAGGCAGTGGATTTGATGCCCTCAGAGCACTTGCGTCTCCCAGTTCAGTCTTTGTAAATTAGCACAGTTTAAAGACAGATTGAACTGGGGGGAGGGGGGGGGGGGATGTCATTACATGCCAGATTGATAAAAGGCCTGGGATGATATCTCTAAAATGATGACAGGACTAGTTTCTGGAGGAACACATGCACATAATCCCTGCTTTAGTTGAACAGGGGCAGAGCAGAACACTAGTGACAGACAATAGAGCAACAGGAATGACATTTATAGTAGACAGTAAACAAGTCGTATTATTCGCTGTGTACTCAATGCCAATACGTTTGGACACAGGAAGTAGCCTAAAATATTTCATGGTGTCAGTAAGTTAGCTTTGAGCTACAACTCGAGCCCATTCAATTCTTTATTTGTTTACACTTTTGGCATATTGGCAGTATTTAAATAAGCCAAATTGATTTGATTTGATGTTGAACAATATGCTTCGATATTGATACAATAATACGCAAAGATGACAGAAACAATAGGAAAATTCATAACCGTACCTTCTGATATTTGTTGAATAATGATGTGTGCATTCTTTTTAGTGGTGCTACGGATCACAAATCATTGATCGGTTATCGAAAAAGACACAAGAATGGACTTTTAATACAACGGTTCCATCCCTCAGATAGACATGACTCAAACGTTCCATGTTAATATAATCACCGCAAATCAAAATGCATCTCGGAATCTTAATAATGTGTCACATCCTGGCCATACAGGTTGCTGCAGGTCCACTGATAATAATAGAAGCAGTAAGATAAACCTGATCTCCCTCTTTATTTAGACTGTGTTTTAAAATATGAGAACAGACTGTAATACAAATGCAGCATCCTTTTAAAACCAGTGGGGACTAACCACAGCGCCCCCACAGGAGCAGGGAATCATTACAACGGAAGTCATCATTTTCAGGATTTTCTGAATCGATATTGTATGGGGAAACATAGCTTGCAATGCGTTGATGAATCGATTTTTTTTCTGCTCAGCCCTATACTGTGTTGGACAGCTGCACAGGTAATCCTCAGTGGACAGGATTAGAGAAGTGCCAAGTCAAGTTTCCTCATCGCTGTTGCTGCTGACATGCTTCTGTGGCTCCATTCAGGTTCAGATGGCTGGCATGCAGTGGCCCTGCAAATCTGTGGCCAGCCCTGTGCTGTCAGAAAAGGGTCCCACTGTGTGGAAAAGAAAAAGAGAATGCTTCCTTGCAAAGCATATTGAGCATTTCCTGGCTTTTTGCAGCAGCTGCTGTAAATTACATGAAAAAGATCTTTCACTCCATCCCCGAACAGTCCATTAACCTCATGCTGATCCTTTTGCAGAATTCCCATGCTTTAGTGATCGCATGCATTGAGCGTGATGCCGATGTATTCTTGTGGTATATTAATGGTTTTCAAAGGTCCACTACAGACAGATCTATTTTAAACCCTTGATACAAACCCTGAACTGTCATTCTCACAGAGAAAAAGTGAGGCAACTCTCTGGTTTCTGAAAATAATAAAATAGTGTACTGCATAAACAAAATGTGTATTAAAACAACAAGATGCTATTAAATAGTTGGCTAATATTTGACTGTGTGGCTGACTTCTGTTTCCCTTCCAGTCTGCAGTTTAGAGCATTGGCCAGAATTCAGCAGTTTGAGAAACTGTTTTGCTCTTACATCATATAGGACAATAGCTAACGCATGTGCTCATTTCTCAGCCATGTTTTAAGCAGAATCACCAGTTAGAAGGGGGCAGAAAGCTAATGTAACCATTTGGTAGTGGTCAAAAATGTAATTTCAGCAAACATTATGTTAAACATTAGAATGTACTTCCTAACTATTATGGTTAAAATGTTAGATATTTCGATACTTTTCGATGCCACACATTTTAAAACACTACAGTCTCTATTATTTTAATGATTGATTGTTTCTAAAAGTGTTGAAGATATTAAAAAAAACTACATCCATTTCACAAGAACGTTGCTTAGGTGAGAATTGGATCCATCAAAGAAAATTGCATGCAACCTCGTACACAATGTCTAAAATTCTATATTTGAAAAGAGGTATTGACATTGTTTGATTTACACTTGTATCAAAGTTTAAATCTGGCATCATGACAACCCTATCAGCTATTGTAGCATAAGCTAGTGAGTGGTTCATGCTAATATTAGATCTTGCATAACAGTCGCTTATTGGGAATCAAAGGTGCAAAATGAGCTTCATTTTGAAGAACATACACAATTTTTGGACTCATGAAAGTGTTAGTTTGAGATTATTTTAAGAATAAATGAACCCAAGAAAAAAAAGGGAAACAAGAAAAACACTTACTTTTAACAATTAAAACCTTAACATTTACGAATACCTCAAAACAAACTTTACGACCAATTGATAGCAATTTACATATGATCTTGAACACAACTAACAAACTGGAACACAGCAGTGTGATATTGTAACTGTATTTGAACTTCCAATCTTGAGTGGGATGTCAGAGGCGCATGGCTGCCGTGTGAACATGATGAAATTCACCATACTGAATGCAATTGTGTGCAGCTGTCATGATGTGCAATGGATGCTTGTGCTCATCTTGCCTTCTGCTGCAGAGTTTCCCTTCATGTCATCACAGTGCTTCCTAACAGCACCTCCATGCCTTCCTGCTGTCTCCTCAGATGAAGGACCTTACTCAAAGGGGAGCAAGGAGTCTGGGACAACTGACCAATCGCATTCGTCCCAGAGGCGCAGCTTTTCAGGTACAATTCAGTCAGAGTTGACTGTATCTCTTTCATATCTGATTCATGCTGCTGCACCCAAACAGAAGGAGAGTACGAGTCATGCCATGTTTGAAACTGTGTGTCTACTGTTTTTTGCTTGATGTTGCACTGTTTGAATGCTTAGGTAAGGTGAAAAAACTGCTTATGTGGCATACCTGTCATTTGCATTAAACCACACTTCTACTTCAAGATGAACGATTTAATAGCACAGCACAATGTGGAGCAGAAGACAGAATGAGTCCTCTGATGACACTTTATAACCACATATCCATCAAGGTCAAACTCATTTTCATCCACTTAAGAACACAATTGGATTTCAATTTACGAACTGATGAGTAAGCTGTAAATCTCAATGAGTCAAATTTTTATAATAATGCATTACACTTCTTTCCTTTATGAGTTTGTGGTGTTAATAAAAGTGACTCCGTCTTCCTCCTCCTCTCTCTGGACCTGTCACAAAGATTCCCTCAGATTGAGAGATTCGAAAGAACAAGGAAAATACACGACAGCGAGAGAATAAAGTATGTGGTCGTGTGTCAAAGAGCATTTCTGTGAGCCACTCCAGAAAGAAAGAAAGAAAGACCCTGTTGTTGCCTCTCAGATAGGGTGATTCTGTCAAGCAGACGCTGATGCTGACTGTGGATCTGTGCCTGTGTGTGTCTGTCAGCAGATGAATACAGAGGAGTGACCACAGTGGACCTGATGAAAAGGGAAGGCAGCAGCCTTGGCCTCACCATCTCCGGAGGGTCTGATAAGGACGGCAAGCCCAGAGTGTCAAACCTACGGCCAGGTGGGCTCGCTGCCAGGTGAGATCTTTGCTCTATGATGCGATTAAAACCTGGCAACCAGAGCAAGCTGTCCAGACTCAGAGTCGTTATCCTGCAAAGTTATGTCCAGATCGCCCTGACTGCTGGACTGTAGGTGTTGTGTTGGATCAGGTTAATGCCGTCCCACTCAATTACCTAAAACACAAGTCCCTTCAAAACCACATTATAAGTCTATTAATCAACATTTGGTGTTATTTTCTCATGTCTTTCTTTCATTTACTGTATGTTACGACTTTGTTGAAATGGTCATAGGCCTACACAATCGCCATTCCAGACAATTCTTCAGAATGCATTGCAACTTTTTTTTAGAGCATGTAGGCCTATAGAACAACTCACGTTTTAAATAAAGAACACAGCCAAAAAAACACCATTTGTTGTTTACTCTGGCGTTTGGATTTCTGTTACTCGCTTGAAGAAACAAACAAGCTACATTCCTCGTCTAGTCCAAAGCTGCATGTTGAGAATCTGAAACGTGAAAGGGCAACTCACTCCATCAAAAGCTTTCTCGGCATCAAGTGTTACAAACAGGAGGTCTACGTCCTGCTTTTGAACAAAATCAATTCAATTTATAGTTTGTATTATATTGTCTGGCAGAAGACATCTTGCATTGCTTCTGGCAATAGTAATTATTTAATGCAAGATGTTTTAGAGCTTGATATAGCCTAATTAACATTTGATTAAACCAATTTCCTTCAACGTCAACAGCATTACACTCATTTTCCCCTACATCAAACACATGAAAGTAAAATGTAGTGGATGACTCACGTTTAATGATGAATAAGAAAGCATGTGTGACACATGCACACACACTATAGACTGTATGCACACACACGCACACACACGCACACAGTTTTGTAAGAATGACGCAGCCCCCGACAAAAATGCCTTGACCAAACATCGCTTGTCAAGTCTTGGGAGGTTTAAAGACAGACACTGTGCTAATTCTTCCAAGCAGCTTGTCCTCCCACAGCTGAGTTCATGCTTGCTGCGGAAGTGCTTGCTAATTTAGTGAGTGGAGAGACACTCATGCAGACAGCAGAGAGACCGGCAGTGACATTGTGTGATGAGACTGGACCTGACGACAGGCCGCTCGCTCGGCTCTGCTGGTTAAGACGTCTCTCTCTGTCTGCTGTCAGCGTTGAGTAGCCCAAAGGTGAGAGGAGTGAGCCGGGCAGAGCTTTTATTTGATTAATTTGCTATTCAATGTGCACAATGTGAGACAACATCCGCTCAGCCTCAGCTCTTCATGTTTGTCGATACAAAGAGAGTCATAATAAAATCATCATTACTGTCTGGTGCAAATTAGAGCAACCAACCATGATTCCTTACATAATGGTCACATCATAACAGTGCTCATTCTGTTTATACTATAGTTTTTATTTCTGCACTTACACACAGCAGCATCATGGAATTTAAGCCCAAACAGAACAGACCAAGATACATAATTAGACATCTCATTTTTATACTGACCAGTTTGGATCCAAATGTGCTGTTTTCCACTATTTCTGAGTGTAATGTTAATATTCAAGAAGCTGTGAGTTATGAGATGAAAGAGTGGAGGTTGTGAGCTGTAAAATAGAACAATTAACATGCAAAGAGCAGAAGAGAGGATTTGGTTGATAGCTGATGTTGTGGTGGCGTTGGCAACAGACATTTGCAAATCAGAAATCCAAAAGTAAAGAAAATTAAAAGGAATCATTTTGTCTGTCCGTGCTTTTCCGCAGGAGTGACCAGCTCAATGTAGGAGACTATATCAAGTCAGTGAACGGCATCAACCTGTCAAAGCTGCGCCATGATGAGATTATCAGCCTGCTGAAGAACATCGGGGAGCGAGTCGTACTGGAGGTGGAGTACGAGCTGCCTCCATTCGGTAGGTGAAATTGTGCAAGAGGATTATTCTGCTTGATGGATGAGGGGAAAAAAAGCTCTAACATCTAAAGAAAGTGCTGTCATCAAAAGAAAGTCAAAGTCGCATCGCACCAAGAATCGACATGACACTTAAATATGAGTGGCACACAGTGTGCAGTGGTATCTGCCAGTTAAATCAGAGCGAAGACGTTTATAAGTCCAGACAGCATTAGAACCTCGTAATCAGCAGCTTCATAACAGTTTATGAGCACATGAGTTAGATGTTGTTAATAAGGGTCATAAACTTGTAGAACAGTTGCCACAGCAGTGAAATGTAACCCCCAGATTTCACCTGATCCACTGGGAGGTGAGGTCGTACATTTCTGTCATGTGACATGTAGGTTTGACCTTGGAGCAAGTTAAAGGGGAACTCTTATATTTTAAGTTTTGCCTTCCACATGAGCGGCAGCCACCTTGGTTAAATTGCCTCAAGGTTGGGGAGCCGGTATAGCTTAGTGGTCAGTGTACAGAGGCCACAAACCTCCAAGCGGGTGGCCCCGGTTTCGCATCTGATCTGTGGCTCCTTTCCCGCATGTCATTCCCCACTCTCTCTCTCCCCGGTGTCTGACTCTATCTACTGTCCTTTCTATATAAAAGCCCAAAACCTCCAAAAATAAACATTTAAAAAATGGCCTCAATGCTTCTTAAACCTGCCCCAAAACAGATCAGTAGTTCAAATTAAATCAACCTTAAGACTAGATGGAGATCCGTGTAAACTTGAGGGGGAACAGAAACATCTGCAAGGTGCAAAGGAAGCAATAGATTGCATATTCATCAGGACCAGAAAACAAAACAACGTTGGCCTTAGAACTGAGTTCTGTATTACAACCTAGAATTTGTGATTAACAAAATTGCTTCAGTGTTCACTTCTTACTCAGATTCCTCACCATTGTAACTCAATGAGTTACACTAAACTCATCCAGGGCGAGAGATCAAACTGCGTAAAAGCAACTCATACTGACCAATCAAGATTGTCCCCTTAACAGTAAAAAACAGTATCCATAACAGAGTTTCCTGGGATTTTTCACATGATGAGATATTCATTGTGCCTTAATTTCTATTAAGATATTCTACAACAGAGCTGATGGAAGCACAAAGGCCAGGAGACTGATGCGGTTATAAGATATGAGCGTAAGCCTCTGATGCTTTGAATCATGTTTATTTATGTTTGTTGACACTGAAGGGGTTGTAGCTGAAATATGGCTCATTCTGTTCATAAGCACTATTAGAATACATCAAAGCAACACATTCATTGTATAGATTACACAGGCGTAATTAGAGTCAGTTGCACTTGTGCTCTGGAGATTTCCAAATCATTTGATGCTTCTTCATTTGCACATTAACACAGTCGGTGAGTTCTGCCATCTGCCCCTATTGCAGCTGTGTTGCTTTTAGCCCCGGCTTAAGTGTTTCACTCACACATTTCTTTCCTGTCACAGTTTTCTCTAAGTTTGTATAATATGCCGCTCTGCTGCCAGTGCATATCTTCATATTTGTAACGCCTTTGTGTTTATTTCAGTTGGGTTAGTAAACCCAGATAGACATAGTTACCCTGGCTATTTTGAAGCTGCTTCGTTTGTACAGGCCTCAGGGCTTCCAAGAGTCATGTTGAGGTCGCCCGCACCTCCAGAAGGCCCAGCATCCAATTCAAGCATGTCTGCAGTCCTCTCTTCTATCTTAAACTGTGGCTTTTTCTCTATGTTTATGTTTTTTTCCCATGTTTTTTCAGACGCTTTTATTTACTCATACACCAAAAAGTCATCTCTCATGAAGTGAATCAGTTATTGGCAGGTCAAATGATGTCTGGATGTCAGTTCAAAAGTTTTAAATAAATATATCCAAACTACAAATGATTGTTCTTGGAAGCCTTTACATAATTATGAAGCAAATCGACATCGTCATTGGGAAAACATTACCATAGTATAGCATCAATAGTTATATCTATAAAATATCAGTAATTATTATTATTTATTTTCCACATGTAATTCACCAAGTCAATACTTATTGAGTCTTACTTGGTCAAGACACCAGCCTCAGAAAGAGAGACATTCTCAAGGCGATGTATCATGGCCGCTCACAGCTCTGAAATCATTAGTGTGGGTCAACCACACTATGATTCCCCCCAGAATAATTAAACACATTTCAAACGATTCTTTGTTCATTCTTGCGATTCAGCACTCACTCAAATCAAACTGTGATCAGGGGGCTCTATTGGTAGAGTCTTTGTCTCTCAACTGGAAGCAACATGTCCGATGTGTCCTTGGGTAAAACACCCCGAGTTGCTCCCTCTGCTTCAGCGGCGGCGGAGTATGAATGTGTATGAATGGGATTTGCACTCCTGATGGTCACTTTACATAGCAACCACTGCGTGAATGGGTGTGAATGTGTAGGTGTGACATGTGGTGTAAAAGCGCTTTGAGTAGTTAGAAGACTAGAAAAGCGCGATACCAGCTCAAGTTCCTTTACCATCAACTATTTTGTAAAGCTTCACACACTGCAGATACCTTCGGGGGATAATAATTATCTGAATGGGTTGTCCTCTTCTCTTAGTCCAGACCCCGACAGGAGTCCTAACCAAAACCATAGAAGTGTGTTTACACAAGGAGGGAAACAGCTTTGGGTTCGTCATGAGAGGTAGGTGCTTGACCGGATGTCGTTGTGAGATTTTAATTTTAGTCGAAATCTTTCGCTTTTGGCACTGATTTATTCACTCTTACCGTTTACATTTTTTTTAGGAGGCTTCCATGAGGACTGGCGCAGGTCTCGTTCCCTGGTGGTGACGTACGTGAGGCCCGGAGGTCCTGCTGACAGGTGAGAACGTGGATTGATGTTTGTGTGCGCACAAGCGCTGCTATTTGTGTTCCTTGTATGTCCTGAATGTGCATGAATGAGCCTATTCAAATAATTGTGTATGTGCATGCATGTGTGTATTTACTGAAGATGTATGGCCTGATGGATATGTGTTTTGCTAATTGCCTTATGCTTGTCTTCAAAACAGTATTTCTATTGAATTAGAATCTTTGGAATAACGCTTTTGAATGATTGAAATATGAAGTTTATGTGTTAAAATCCATGTGCACGTTATTTCTTTTGCATCAGCATACACTCTGCGTGAAATCGTGGCTGTGACACATTCTGTTGAGTGTATTTTATCTTCAAAGCAGAAAGGGCACCACTCATCCTGCAGGCTAACGCAACATTGCACTTTTCTTAAACACACACACACACACACACACACACACACACACACACACACACACAAAAACGAATCCAGGGAACCAAATCACTGGAGCAACCGTAATTCGCCATCAAAGACTTTTACGGCCGTTTATCTCGCTTATCCTTCATCTCACCTGGGAGCGAACGCTCATGTGGAACTGTTTAATGATTTACTGTGACTGCCCGCCTAAACGCTTGTATGAGCATCTTGCACAGGTTACTTTATTCTTCTCCCTGTCTGCTTTCTGTGTTACTCCAGAGAGGGCACTCTGAAAGGCGGAGATCGGGTTCTGAGCATAGACGGGATGCCTTTAAACCGAGAGAAGCATGCAGACGCCCTGACCATGCTGATGCAGAGTGGCCAGGAAGCTCTGTTCCTGATTGAGTATGACGTCTCTGTCATGGGTGAGCACACACACACAGGGAATATGTGCAGGCATGGTTGGGCAGCTTTGCTCTGAGGGTAAATAATGTGGCTGTTATGGCTCTGTCAATGTGCGTGAGTGTGTGTGCTGGAGACGCCACTAGGGGAGTCACACTGGCCCATGAGCACAATTGAGCTCGGAAAGGGTAGATGGGTAATATTCAGTGTATTATTGAGTCTCTCTACACTCTGTAACCATGTAGGTTCCATCTAAATAGTCATACCCTAGTTCATTCAATGCTTGTCAGACAGGGAACGTCACCCCTTATTAACATTTGTTTAATCACACAATTTTTGTTTTGTTGCTTTAAAAGAAATTGAGCGAGGTTTAGTATAACATCTCCCCAATGTAGGGGACTTAAAAAGAGACAGATTTGAGCAGGAATTGTCAAAATTGAAGCAGCAGAGGCCAAAATATCTCGACATTTAGGTGAGTAAAGGAAGAAAAAATACTGGATCCTACATTTCCCACAATGCAATCAGCCTGGTTAATTCTCTTGCCTCCAAGAGTGCCTAGTGAAGCCTTTTGATGTAAAAATGTAGTCCTCGTTCTCAGGCCTAAACAAACATGATGACATCACTATGACATTATCTGCGTCTCTGGAGGTACAGATGAATTATGAAACATTCTTGGCAGTCATCAGCTGGACCACTGAAATGCCTTTTACTTGGTATGATCCATGTATATGCATAATCGAATCTATCACACTTGACTGAATTTATTTTTGGGCATTTTTTTGACAAATTGGATGCAGTTAGTTTTCATTGCAAGACTCTACATATGGAAAGGGAAAACAGACTAACTGCAGATTGAAACTCTTATTTGGTCATGGTGACTAATTCTCCAGAAAAAATCTGCTCTACTCTGTGTAAAATAGGACAGGTCACCAAGGACTTTTGACACAAGTGACTTCTCTGTATGTGGAAGTTCAGGACTCAGGCCTCCTGCCTACAGAGTGAGCCAGTCAGAGGGTTCAGAGGGTTCAGAATTTTCAGAAGAATGTGTGTGTGTGTGTGTCACATATTCTTTGTAGCATGGGTTCCATTAAGAAGTATTAAGAGCAATCATCCCATCATTGTACGCGGAGTGGAAACACTTCAGCTGTCACTTCATAACTGCATCCAGAAAGTCTCTTTGTCATTGCTTGAGTCAGGATAGTTAAATGCCTAGTGTCAAAATATCCCAGTGCTAAAAAAACAAAAAGTGTATCTATATTTCTCATTTGTCATTGAGACACACAAATGTCCTCTACTGCCAGCTGAATAAACTCATGTTTCCAAACTCCAGCATGTGCTAAATGTCCCATTTTCACAGAGTATCTTTTACGTACCTGTAATATAAAAACATCAAATAAAAGAAGGAGAGTGGCTTTTCGAAGACTCCTGACTTTACTGACACAGTATTTTTGACATTTTCCCCCCCCTCAACAACTAAATATTTTTGTTTGAGGTAGGAGGTCTGTATGGTAAACATCTAGAGAGTGTCACCTATAAAATCCAGAAAAAAAACATGCAATAAGATGCATTTAAAATACAAACTGAGTCTAAAGACTAGATGTATTCATGTTTGAAAGGTTAGGATGGAGTGCAATATGTACATATGAAAGTTTTAATGTGGCACATAGATAACGATGCTGGGAGAATCAGTGTAATGTTTTTTTTCATTCCAGGGGTGAAAAAGGTATTTTATTGTTCATGCTTTAGATGCATCCAGTGATCTTGTCGGCCTCCATCATATCTGTGTGTCATATCTGTTTCAGAGGCGGTGCAGCAAGCCTCAGGCCCTCTGCTGGTGGAGATAGTGAAAGGTCCCTCTGCCAGCTTGGGGATCAGTCTCACCACGACAATATACAGGAGTAAACAAGTTATTATCATCGACAAGATCAAGCCAGCCAGCGTGGTGGAAAGGTATAACCCACATCTTACACATTTAACGCCTCCCAGACATTTCCTGACACTGGCTGCCTCTGTGTCGCTCTCTCAGGTGTGGAGCGCTTCATGTAGGAGACATTATTCTGTGTATAGATGGGACCAGTGCAGAGCACTGCTCTCTGATGGAGGCCACGCAGCTACTCGCCAGCTCCTCTGACGTCGTCAAACTGGAGATTCTGCCAGCGAGTCAGAGCCGACTTCCTGTTAGGCCACAAGACACAGGTATGTCCTCGAGGTGATGCAGACAACACAGCAGATCCCTTAAAAAACACAGAGAAGACACCAAAGAGATGCGAGAATTATCAGTGAAAAAAAATGAATTCTTGTAGACAAAGCAAGTGACCTATTTTCTAATAAATCCACTGTTTGTAAAGTGTGATAAAATATCAGTCAATTATTCAGAATTCAAGCTGACTTCTCCAAATTCTTTATGTGCAATAGACCATCAGAAAAGCAAAAGAAGTTTGATAAACAATCACATACGGTGAAGGGCTGAAATATTCCTGGTGGATTCAGAGACTGTTTGACATCTTAAAATTAACAAGTAACACATGATAACAATTTTGTGAAGATTAAGCAAAAGCTACACAGCTTTAACTTCAAACTATACAAATAAGGCATGTAGATAATTTTTATTTGTCATAATTTAATGGCACATTTGCAGTGCAATGCAAAGGTTGCAAAGAGGAAGTTGATTTGAGTGTCATGCAATCATTTCAATCTAATAAAGAAGTTCTTCTGGTGCATTGCGGGAAAAATAAGCACGTTGTCCTCGACATATGTAATGTGACGGCTCTGCTCTTAGTTATTTTACCTACAGCTGTAAGGAGCCTGGCTGCCTCCCAACAGTCCCTTTCTATACGCTGTGAATCAGCCTGAGTATGCGACTCTTTGTGTGTGTGCATGCTGCCAGCAACAATCCTTCTGCCTTCGGATACACACTCCTTCCTATGCCACTTGCGTGCACACAAACATACACTGGATACATTTTTCCTCCATCTGAGATCATGCTCGCGCCATGTTCTGCTCACTCTTTCTGGGTCAGCAGCTGCAGGGCTCCTTTACATGTGAGCATGGGACAAATCACACAACAAGACAGAGGGAAAGAAGATGTAGTTTGGTCTTCTCTTGGGTCACTGGATCCTCTCCTTTTTGTAATTATTCAGTGTTTTTTTTTTGTCTGGTACAGTGTGCAGCATTTCACTCTTATCTCTATTTACTGAAAAAAACAGAAAACTATTTGGTTTATCATCTGAAGCTCATAAAGCTCCTATTGTTATTCATAATGGAAAAAAAATCAAGCGTCTTTTTAAAGTCTTGGGTGTGATGATCGACTATTTGTTGTCCTGGAAAGACCGTATTTAATGTGTCTGCAAAAAGACAAAACAGAGAATTTATTTTCTCAAAATTCTTGTTTTGTTTTTTACATCTGTGATTCTAAACTTCCTAACAAAGTCCTAAGAATAATTCAGTCAATCAAGCAATTTGCTAATGAGCAGACTTTTACTTAAACAGAGGGTTTAATCCTTTGATGAGAGGATAAAAATAACCACTTTACCAGACAGCTTGAACTGCATATGCTCCTGTTGACCATTGACCTGTCTCCTGTCAAAGTGCAGCACAGGCATTCCTTCACAGTAAAATAACAGACAGGTAACTCATCCTCTGAAATTTCTATTTAATAGTGATTCACTTCAAGAATTAGGCACCATGACTTTACGATAAAATAAAACCACATTTTCACAGCTTCCTTTCCTCCGGGATAAGGCGTGATTAAAAGATGCAATTTGTCTAATCTCCTCTGGGGATTTAATAAGACTGATACAGCCACTGAGAGATTAGGAGTTAATGTTTCTTTCTGCCCGCGTAGATCGCAAAAACATCATTTCTTGGAGCGCTTCCCCTAGGTGGGCTTAGCGTAAGCCAGCCGAGTTGAGTCTTTACAGGTTTTTGATTGAGCTCGATAGAAACTGGCTCTCTGAAAAGGGCCGGAGGGTCTCCTCTGTGTATTCTGATTGCATACAGCTGGATTTAACCAGGTTTCATGAAGATGGCAAACCTCCCAGGCACTAATGCAGTCATCCATGTTTCCAGCAAATCCTTCATCCATGTGAGCAAGTTGTTGGAGATTAGACCCATGCAAATGACACATCAAGGATTACTGTCACATGTCAGTGTCTGTGACAATTTCAGCTGCATGAATCTGTGAATGCAACGTTAATTAGGGAGGTGTGTGTCATACAGGAGGTCAGTCTTTTCCCTTTGAATGTTTCACAGATATTTGACCAAATACAACTTTTTATACAGGCTTTAAAATGAAGGGTAAGATCCCCTTCAGAATAACCACTATTTGGCTCTTTGTGTCATTTAAAGTGCAAACAAATGACAGCAGAGTTGATTATCAACCAGAGTTAAAAAAACATATAGACCAATCAGATGCAGAAACATGCCCTGTCATCATCAGCAATCAAGCTTTCAGCTGCGCCCAATCAAGGTTAACCACATGTCTCACTTCTAGTTTGAAAAAAAAAAAACATTAGATGGTGCCAAGCAATCAACTTTCTCGGATTGTTTTAGCACCTTCGGTCTTTTTTGAAAATAAAATGATCGAAATGATCTCCAGTTTGCACTCAGCTTATTGGAAGCTTGCTAGAAAAAGTTAAGATATTTTTTTGAATGTTTCTTTTCGGACCCTGCACCACTTCACATTGAGTTTGTTGAGCATTGTGTCTGATTCTTAGAAGAACATCAAAACACATTAAACCACAGGCTTAAATCTACTGTACCATGTCCAAAACAAATTAGATCAATTACCTTGCTTTGAATTTCCCTCCAGGCACTGTGCAGTGTGGTACACATTTACACATTGGAATAAAAGCAAGATTTCATGGCTATGATCTAGAGACGTGCACAACAGAGGAGTGGATCTGTTTTACTTCATGGATGCATTTGCCTCTGTTTTGTTGCAGTAAAAGTGCAGAAAAGCAACAATCACCACTGGGACCAAAGCAGCAGCAACTACTGCCATCCCCCACATGGCAGCCACGGCAAGGCATGGAGCAGCCCGAGCCACCCACACAACCAGCAGGACCACTGCAAAAGTAAGTTATCACTTGTGACAGCACTGCTGCTGGCAAGACACCATGGAGGGAGCCTTTTCTTCAGCACATTTTGTTAAATATTGTCCTATGGGTTTACTCCAACACTGTTACCCCTTTTCTTTTCTTTTGTTGCATGTTTTCTTTGAGCATACTCTGATCCTGCTACTGACGCTGAAAACAAAATGTCATGTTAGTACCTGCCCTTTGAAACGCATAGGTGCTATGTCTCCTTTCAGCTCTGGTGAGTGGTGGCTTCTCCCCTTCCTCCACAGCCACCTCTGGCTTCAGCAGCCAGGGCAGTAGCACACTGCCCTGCCCCATCCCAACCGTTGCCCCCAACAGCCCTCGCAGCTCCACCGGCAAGAGGAGGACCAGAAAGAAGGACCACAAGAGCTCATGTATGAAAAATCCCTCTGCTTTACTGCCTTCAAATTTATTTTTTTTCTCTTACAAATAATGCTGATGCAACTTAATGATATCTTGAAGGTTATAGTTTCTGCTTCTGCTAGGTTGTTTGTGTGTCTGTGGCTTTGTGTTGTTTCCCCCATACAAGTCAAAAACATCAGGCTAGTAGCAGAAATGTATCTTTCTATAATGTGAAACAGTTCAATAGCATCAAATTTTTTTTTTAATTTGTTTGAAAAATAACTTTTGCAGTAAGTAAGTAAAGTTAATTTATATAGCACCTTTTAAGAACAGATGACACAAAGTGCTTCACAGTCAATAATTAAGAATTTGTAATAGGCTACATTAGTTTTAGTAATCCACATGTTCCTGACAAACTGGGAACTGAGTGTTTCCAGATAAAATAATTCTAATGAGCCACGCATGGCACAGGTGAGAAATAAACAAGACGTTTGTAAATCCATTCCTAGGGTTAACAAAATCCGTGCGCACATTTTACAAATTCTTACGCACAGATTACAAACCTGTGCTCATGGCTTAAAATACATTCACATGGTTTATAAAGTGTGCGCAGAGTTGTGCAAATCCGTGAGCAGGGACTTGTAATAGTAAGGATTTGCAAACTGATTTTTATTTTTTTCTTACCTGAGCCTTTGGGGGCCCAGTTGAATTCCAAGACTACTACCACAAAAAAAAGTTACCAACAAATCAAATAGGTGAAGAATTGAGTATTGTCCATTTGTCATTATATACATATACTTATATTATTCTCATTAGCCTTAACCTTTGTTTTTTGTGCATATTAGCAAGTTTAAGCAGGCTAACACACTTCACCAGGACAGAAACAAAAAAACTGATACCGGTATAAGCAGCATGGTAGCTTGTCCTTTTAAGCCATGGGTTGTGAGAAGGTTAACATGCTAACATTAACATCTAATTGTTCATTAGTTCAAGCAAACGTAGCTGCTAGCAATGCTATATACTTACATTCTTGTCAAGTGTATTTTTTTAAATGCTGTTAGCATTAAAAAAAAAAAGTAAGTTTGAATCACATTCATTTTGTTACACTGGAGGCAAAACAAATGGATAATGAGAACAGAAAGCTATCTGAGGGCTAAAGGCTTTTTCTTTTGGTAATTTTGGTGAACTGACCTTTTTTAAAATGTTCACAGTTTTGTTAAACCAACTTGCACTCGTTTTTTGCCCCCTCAGTGTGTGAACAGATTTGACTGATCCCCTAATGTTAGCATGGCTGACGCCAACTCTGATATGTGACTCATTCCCTATCCATTCCCATGTCCTCTCTGTGGGTGCAGAAGCCCCCCCTCTGTGTTTTGTCCATCACAATTCCTTGTTCCCTTCATTTATCTGTCACTTCTCCACTAATATCTATCTCTGATGTGTCTCCTCTCTCTCTCTCTCTCTCTCTCTCTCTCGCTCTCTCTCTCTCTCTCTCCCTTCCTCCAACCCACTCTGTCCCATAGTATCCCTGGCGTCAAGTTCTGTCGGCCCAGGGGGGCAGATTTTTCATGTGGAAACAAGCGAGGTTGTCCTGAGGGGGGATCCGCTCACAGGTTTTGGAATCCAGCTGCAGGGGGGTGTCTTTGCCACAGAGACCCTGTCTGCTCCCCCAGTCATCCGCTTTATTGAGCCCGACAGCCCAGCTGAGAGGTAACGCGCTGAGACACCTAACAAAAAAAACAAATATCATATAGAGAGTCACCTTCAACTAAACCGCCCCAGTGCTAATCATTCAGCCTCATGTGGAAAACAGCTAATTTTAGCCTGATGTCTGGATGAGTATTAAGCTGAAGGCATCTAGGACTGCATTTGTCTCATGCAGTGGTTCCTGAAATTGGAACTAGTCCCCCCCCCCCCCCCCCCCCCCCGCAGGATGCGTCGTGATAAACTTTAATTTGTCCAGTACTTTGGGTTTAGTGGATGTTGCTATTGCTCTTAAACACAATGAAGCAGTAGGAAATACTATTTTAACAACTAGAGTGTAAACCTGCTCTGTCAGCAGTTGCACAAGATTTTATGCGTCGGTATTTGGCACTGTATGAATAAGTAATGGTTTTATTTTTTGATCGTGAAAAGCCCCTCATATTGGTCCGTGGTACTGTATTGATCAAGGCTACATGTTGCAGCTCCGATCAGTACACCAGAGAGCTGTATTTGTCCTTGTCTTGTAAGATTAATGATGGTGTCTGCAGGCAGTGCGAGGTCTTTCCCCATGGGTCTTGCACCACGATTAGTCCAGGAGCAGTCGAGATAGAAGTGACTCAAGTACAGTATCCGCCTGTGATGTTGGTGTCTCAGCCTCCACACAAGGTTAACACGCAGCCATGGCCAGTGAATTAATAACAGTTGACAGATCTGCTGTGTTCCCCCTTGTAATTAGGGGGCTGATTAAACGTGTGATATTTGTTGTTTTCTGGATGAATATGCACTCGCCTTGCTGAAGTGTCTAGTGAAGTTCACATGAGGTCAGTGTTCAAGTGTGTTTGTTTCAAGGCCTGGAAGCTTTTTTTTATTTCATGTTATAGGTGGCATTTTAAACATTCATCCTATATGACATGTGGTGTCAGATAGCATGAATGTGTCACTCGTCAGAATACTTTTACTGAAAGCAGAAATCCTAACAAATCCTTGCTGATGCTTGAGTGGACAACGTGACTTAAAGATTTGTTGTACTACTTTCGTGTCTTTTATTATAGAGGAAGACAGTGGGTAGAGTAGTAAACTGGGATGAATGAATGATGAATGACGCGTTTCAAATCATCTAAAGTTAGAGTGGAACCTGAGCCGCCCGCTTTGTGGACTGTAGCCTCTGAACATAGGGCGCACGATACAACCGGCAGGCTATACAGAGTCCCTAGAAGATAAATTGTAAAGGTGACTAGAGCTTACAACCGGTTGTTTTGCTCACTGATTTATTATCTAAGTTCATTGAGGGAAAACATCCCGATGTTCCTGCTTCATATTGTTGTTTTGTGTTTGAACAGTTGCTCCTGAGGGTCTTGAAAGTTCTGCTTTTTGAAAAGTTTTTCTTTAATATCTATTACATATTTCTAACTGTTTTATCCCTCTGTGTGAGTTTGTGAGCAGACTGCTAATTTTCTTAATACCATCAGGTGTTTTATCTATCAATAAATAATTATGCAAACCATCAGTGATAAGGTAGGCTCTATAACAGAAACACATTTTAGTACAAACTCTAGTGTAGAAAATAACCTAAAGATCACATTAAGACTTTATGAAACAGTTTTCAGTGTTGCTGGCTCGCTTGCTGTTTCCATGGGAACTGACTATGAAATATAAACATGCAATATGATATTAAGTTTCTGGAAATTCATGAGTAGACTTTAACCTTTGGTCCTGGGCAGTGTTGTGCTCATTGTCACTTTTTGGGAATTTTCAAGACTACAAATTAGCAGACATTTTTGAGGGCATAAAAATGACATACAGTAACGTATGTATTAAAGATGAGACGTCCCGTAACATTTTCAGCTAATCACATGTCTTAACATTTGTGTTTCTTAATTACCGTATAAACATTTGTGGGTGATCCAGTTTTGAAAGGACCTTTTCTTCCGCTGATGGGCTTGTGTGTGTGTGTGTGTGTGTGTGTGTGCAGGTGTGGGCTGCTGCAGGTTGGCGACCGATTGTTGTCCATTAATGGGATCCCAACTGAAGATGGCACTTTGGAAGAAGCCCATCAGCTGCTCAGAGACTCGGCTCTGGCCAATAAAGTCACAGTGGAGGTCGAGTTTGATGTTGCAGGTATCATATCGAGTAGATATCTAATGATGAAACCGGAGTGTATACGCGATCCTCCATCCTAAATCCTATCTTTACTTTATTCAATGAATAGAGTCGGTTGTTCCCAGCAGCGGCACCTTCCACGTCAAACTGCCAAAGAGGAGAGGAGTGGAGCTGGGCATCACTATCAGTGGTGAGTTGGGTAACACTGAGATGTACAGCAGGGGGCAGTGTTGTTTCATATCACCCCATAGGGCCCACACATTATAAAGCTCCTTTGAATCAATGTTCTGTGATCCATGAAACTCAGGCTTGCAAAACAATGAGTGCACATACCTCATTACCTGTGAATAATACTGGCCTGCACCGGTGTTCATCAGTTGAAGTTTTATAAGTGCAACAACAGGAAAAAAGAATGTTGGTGGTCATATTGGTAAGAGTTAACATAGTTATATTTTTACGTAAACTGATGTAAATATGTTCTTCTTTAAACAGCAAGTAAGAAACCTGGCAAGCCCCTCATCATCTCTGACATCCGTAAAGGAAGCATAGCACACAGGTACGTCCTATCATCAATCATGGCTAATAGTTATAAGGAGACATTGTTGTTTAATGATCTAAGGTTTTAATTTCAGGTTGTGATGAAGATACATTATTTCTAATCACTTCACCGCTCAGGGTGAACAAGGTATTTGAGGCTTAAGTAGGATTATGAAAGAAGAAAATAAAATTGTTTGGTCAATCCACCGTGTAATACGAGCCTAATTGGATTGAGCTATCAAAACTGGATCAGTAGGGCAGAGCAGACACATTTCAGTTGGGCTCAGTGTTGATTAGGTTGAAGGCGAGGTTAGGGTCACCCCCAAAGGATCCCACTGAGACATTTAGCTAATGGGATTCTCATATTGAGTCAGAAGGAAGCGGCTCCCTGCATGCTCCCAGTTAACAGTTGTGGTTCTCTCTTCTTCTCTCTCTCTCTCTCTCTCTCTCTCTCTCTCTTTCTCTCTCTCTCTTTCTCTCTCTTGTTCCCGGCAGAACAGGCACTCTTGAGCCTGGAGACCGGCTGCTGGCCATAGACAGCGTCCGGCTGGAGAACTGCACCATGGAGGACGCAATGCACGTCCTGGAGCAGGCCGAGGACATGGTCAAACTACGAATACAGAAAGATGAGGACAACATTGGTACTTTAATCCATTTATAAACCAAACATATTACCCATTATAGAAGTAGAAGGGGAGAGTAGCAGAAGTACATTGTGCAGTTATATTAGCTTTCAAATTGCTGCTACATTTTACTTAACTGGATTCCACAGTTCTTTGACGATGATGTATTTCTTTTCCCCTGCATTTATTTGACACCTCAGGATACTAGTTTATCTTTTGTTAAAAACAAGATGAACTTGAAAATCCTCACAATCAACAAACAGTTCTTTTTGTTGTTGTTGCTTAATCTAAGTTTCTTATTGTTACCATTTCTGTAAATCTCTCCTGGTTAATGGCAGTTCAACCAAAGAGTGATTTTCTTTTCTTTTTTTTCCCCCTTTGAATCTTCTCACATGATTCCTTCAGATCGCTGCCCAGGGCTTTAAGATGTAAAATTATGTCTTTTTCAGAAATAAAAGGGAAGAAATGGAACATAACTACTAAAAAATAGACTCTGATTTGTTCAGCTGAGCTTTTTTTTTCATTTATTTTTTTTCATCACTTCTCTTTTATCTCATATCCCCTCAGGTTTATCTTGGGACCAGTTTTAGTCCCTCCAATCAACCTGCTTATCATGAGGTCCATAACAATGTAAAAAAAATACATGCAGACAGATTCAAAAGTCTTGTTTTGTCAACTTGAAGCTATGTAGTGTTGGCATTTTTCTGTGAATTGACTTTAATAATGGTTACAGCTCAACACTGTACACAATAGTGAAGTGGTTCTGAACTGGTATAGTCTCAGGACCCAAGAGGTGAAAAAGCTCCAGCAACACATGTGTTATGAAGATTAACTTTATCAACAAATGAGATTTCAAAATTTTCAATAAATTTGATCTATATAATCATAGTCTCAGGACCCACCAGCAACTACTTCATGAAGAATCGTGACCCAAATTTCTGATGTTTTTTTTAACCAATCAGAAAATTGCGCATGTTTGAACCTCAGACGCTACAGAACATAAGACAGAACAGAGACGGAACAAACAAACAAGTCTTAAAGCGCTTAATGACTTTTTGAAACACGTTTTTTTTGTCCAGACACACATTTCCGACACATTGAAAATGCCTCTGGTACCCACTTTCGGGTCCCGACCCGCCAGTTGAAAACCACTGAGAACCACTGGCATCGTTTATGCAGATATAAAAAAAAAAAACAGTTTTGCATAAAAGTTTTAAGCCTGTGAGTACTTCTTAATTATTAATAGTCTCACATCAGCCTTTTTTCTAAAGAAGAACATTTCAAATGTAATACTTCTTGTTTTTTAAGTGTGTTTTATATTTAGAGTGCAGTACATTTGCTTGTAGTTTATTTTTTATTTTCTTGATAACTGTGTTGCTATTTTAACGTGCACAATGAATGTTTATACCTCTCATCACTAGAAACTGGCCTCAAAATATTCAGAATAAGTACAGTAAGAATAAAATGAAAAGGAGATAATTGTTGCTCAGACCGTTTCATGTTTTTTTTGTCGTCTTCACAGGGTTCAAACTGTCAGTATAATCTTATGTGTTGTTTCCTTTTGTGTAGATGAGTTGGAGATGTCAGGCTCTATAATCTACACAGTGGAGCTGAAGAGGTATAACGGACCCCTGGGCATCACCATTTCAGGCACAGAGGAGCCCTTTGACCCCATCGTCATCTCTGGTCTCACAAAGAAAGGCCTGGCAGAGAGGTGAGGGGAGTGGGGTGACACTCAGGGGTCAGGGTAGTTATTCAAGAAGGTGGTGGCATGTACATTTGGTTAAGGGTGAGTGAAATCTGTAGTTCCTTTCTTTGGAAACTTTTTTTTTTTTTTCCCCTTTTTAAAATAAACAGCACAGTTGACAATGGCTGTCTCGTCTTTTTCTGTAACAAAAAGCCTCTTTGTTTTCCGTCTCAGTTGGCGCTCTGGCAGCCTGACAGTTCTCCAAGCCAGCATGTCGGTACTGGCTGGTGTAATGTGGTAACTCTGTCTCCTCTGCTCTCCTAACCCCGCAGGACCGGGGCCATCCACATTGGGGACCGAGTCCTGGCCATCAATGGGGTCAGTCTGAAAGGAAAACCACTGAGTGAGGCCATCCACCTCCTGCAGATGGCGGGGGAGTCGGTCACCCTTAAGATAAAAAAACAAGCTGACCGTACGTTTTTTCTTTTGGCAACTTATTGTTCTTTTGTTTTTAACCTCTCATAACAGTTTGAAAAGAAAGAACCGCTTATGAATGCATTGCAGAAATCACTGCAAGCTACACTTAGTCAGCAAAAAGATAGGCATCAAGATAACATCACGCCACTCACAATCACTTTCACTTCTTCACATCTAAATATGAAATATGTGTTTCATGGCCCTGCAGCATTCTTTCCCATGAGTGGGAGACATTTTGTTCCAGTGGGTTTTGTACCAACATTTATTCTGTAGAACTTTTTTTTTTACATTTTATCTCTTCTTGGTAATCCATTCCAATGCATTACTGTGATTTAAAAAAAAAAAAAAATGTATTTGTAGAAATGTAAAAGAAGCCTGCCTAAAAAGACATGAATTTCAGGCACAAAGACATTGATTCAGTGTTTCAATTTTGCACTTTCGGATGACTGAGTGCATTTCTTCTCCCTGTTGATGTAGCTTTATCTCACTGCTCATTCCCAGGTTCTGATAGACGGCATCTGGCAGAAAGAGAAGCTGCGTTTTTAAGCGACACAGAGGATGATCTGACAGACTTCCAGAAGACCAGTAAACACTCAGAGATCTACTCTGCCACTGTGCCCAGTATAGACTCTGCAATGAGCTCCTGGGATAGCTCAGGGTTTGATGCAGGCTACGGCAGCCAAGGTGGGTTAAATCCAGGATGCTGGCTGTCTGAAAACTACCCCATTTTCCTTCCTTGTACTAATGAGGTCAGTTGATTTCCCCCCTTTTTTTCCAGGAACATATCTTCACAAAGCATCAGATATACTGCTCAATCCAAGTGACTGGCGGCGCACACAGCACAGGAGCCAAACCAGCTCTAGCTCTGCAGGCCTGCTCCACCACACGTCACTGTATGATGGGAGGTTTACTGAGGATGAGTGGGACAAGATACCCGGGTAAGCCCACTGTCCAGAAATCTACATCATCTACTCTGCTTCTTGTTTCATTTCTGTGCAGCTGCAAGTCTTCTGTATTTCATAATAAAACTATTTTTTTTTAAATGTAAATCACATTCAAAGGTGGAAAGTCAGTCCTTTCTTTAAACAGTTTTTAAATTAACCCTTTAGGGTAAATGACAAGAGTATTCCATTTTGTTATCACTTTATAATTCCACGTCACTAAACTGTAAGAATAAATATTTTACACCAACAACACATAAGATAAATTTCTAAAAATATATATATATATTTTTTTTAAGGACTAAACCTTTAACCTTTTAGATGTTTTGGACCCCTGACATTGTTTTTTTAAGGATTATGTACCTTTTGAGGACAAACAAGGAAAATAGATTACAAAATGTTTTCAAAAGTCTACAAAAAAAACTTATAATAAAGTTCAAAACATGAATACATCTGTGCAGAACTAATACATGCTGTCATATACGGCCTACAATGGGACAAGATACTCACAGTCTTTTAGGTTGCCGTCTGTTCTTGAGTACAATGCTCTATTTCTAAATTTTAACAATAGTACTTTTACTCAAGTTAAAGTATCTGCATACTTCTTCCACCTCTGAAAATAAGAGCTTTAGTTATTTTCCCTCTTTGGGTTCATTAAAAATACAAACTGCACAGTCTGTGAATTGTTTTCTCTCCATTTTGTGTTGTATGCTTCCCTGTTTTGTGCTTTTCCAAACTGTCCTTTTCTCTTCTTTCTCAGGTATTCTCTCTCTCATCTGCTTTACTAACTGCCCACAAGCTCTTTGGTGTTTCACATAGATGCATCTTTTTTTGTGTCACCCCCTTTTCCACAACAAACAAAAAAGCCTTTCCTGTGAAAGCATCTAAAGAGCCCAAGGATACATCAGCCTTATCTGTCTCGTCACACTTTTTTTTCTTTTTTCTTTTTGTGTTACATGAGTTCAATTTCCTGCTCTTTTTTTGGGTGACCTTACTTTTATAAAATTGAACTCTTTTAAAGGCTCTGTCTAATCTAGCGGACTCCTCAGCATTTGAACTGCCACAAGGGAATTTAACAATAACATCCTCAATGAGGTCCTGAGAGACTTTCGAATGAGGATTTTCCAGCACCCAGAACAAAAAAACAAAAACAACTGCATTTCCCATGCTGCAACGGCGGCAGGATCGCAGGGCTGCTCTCATGTTCTGGTTCCTGCGTTGTCATAGATTCGTCAGCCCACCTCGTTGCCATGGCACCCTGAACCAGGATGACAGCTTCTGGTCCCAGGCTCTGCAGGACCTCGAGACCTGCGGCCAGTCTGAGATTCTCAGGGAGCTGGAGGTAGGCCTCACCTGACACCTCCACCCCCTAACCGCTTCCTGCTCTTGTTTCCTCCTCCCTCCTCCTCCTACTCCATCTGATTTGTCCTCTCCATCTATTCATAGACTGGTGTAGGGCTAAGTGAACATGCCAGATGAAGCATTATGATAATCTGAGTGTAATCTGTTATTAAATCTGACAAGACAGGCCGTGCACCTGCTGCCGTACTGCTGCTATACTGACCCGGGAAGGCTTTTCCATAATCAGTCTCTGTGTGCACTTCATAATAGGTTATATGTGTGTCTATTTTCTTATACAAAATGTCTAATAATTTTTTTTTTTTCGGGGTCTCTTTCAGGCATCCATGACAGGTAGCGCTCTTAGTCTGTACCTAGAGGAGACCAAGACCAACGACGACTCGATGTTTCAGTCTGACATTAGTCCCATAAAGAGGGAGGGAACCCTCAGGGAGTGTAAGAACAAGGGCACCCCGAACATGTCCACCCGAGCCAGAAATGCACCATCACTGGGCAAAGGGGACCCATCTGACATGTCGGCCTCTACCACCCTGGCACTGCATAAGGTAGTTTTTCCTTTTTAGGTTTATTTCTGGACTTTTTTTCTGACTTTATTTTGAGACAGGACAGTGGATAAAGTCAGAAATCAGGGAGAGAGATATAGTGGGGAATGACATGCAGGACATGATAAAGGATATCAAAAAAGTGCCACAGGTTGGATTCTAACCCGGGCCGCCCGCTTGGCTAAAAAATTCCATTACATGAGAAATCTAACAAGACAGTGCTGAGAAATATCAAATCAGACATGTATGAGAGCAGAATGGTCTGTTAGGCTACTCCACCTGAATGAATGTTGCTGTGGATACAACAAAATGCACATATGTTGCGTGTGACATGATTTTGCTGTCAACACTTATAATTTATAAGTAGCATGAAGACCCGGGCAAATCGTTAAGTACATGCATAAAAGCAGATTTAGAAAGTTTCACATCAGCGGCAGCTCTCTTGGTTGTTTAGGAAAAAGCCTCAACAGCGTGTAAACTTCCCTTATGTTAGACAAATGGTTGTGACTGAATCAGGCCGGATGCAAATGTCTTAGAATGGGAGGGATATCAGATGTATCTGCCAGAGCAAATATATCACAAGTTTTAGATTTGCGCTGATTTCCAAACTTTCCTAGAGCCAAATGACGCCTTCAAACTGAGGACCCCATGTGTCCTTTTAAAGTAGCTATAGTACACATGGCACTTTGTTAAACCAATAAAAAGTTAAGATTCCTGTCAACTATGATTATATGATGGCACAAAAAATCCTAATCATGCAGAGAAGCAGCTGTAAAGATAAACACTGCCTTTCTTGCCAAGGTTAATACTCTGGTATCTGGCAATGATAATAATGTTAACAAAATACACTAAACATTATTATTTGAATGTATAAAAAAATTCTAAATTTTAACGTTTGCCAAATAAAAAATAAGTTTATATTTTACCCAATTTAGCCCTTTTCCACTCCTTTTTAAAGGATAATTCTCAAGTATGTAGTGATTTAAAGGGTACTTCACTTCTAAATACAAAGATGTGTTATAACACACACTTTCTCCTCTTCTTTTGTATTCTGCTCATACTTGGAGTTTCCATTTTAATTTGCAAGCTGTTATCCAAAGCACTACTGGACACTTGGGGCTAAATGTGGTCATTTATAAGTCCGCTGCTCTCACAGCTTGAAAACATCGTACAAACAATCATCCTGAGGGAATCTGTCCATCATTAGGTTTATGCCTCCATGACTCCTTGACTTGACTCATCGTGGCTGTCTGTACGGCATAACAGGGCCCAGTGGATAACCTGGCCAGTCCGGACTTGCATTGTGTGTAAACATACAACCCTCATTAAACATTACCTCTGAAGCGACACACGCTGTGACCCCAGACTGCACCAGTATGCTCCCTGAGACGTCTTGTTTGGAGTCGCTCATGTATGTAGATGTTTCATTAGGGAAGCGGGGTATGACAAACTCTTTTCAGCGTTTAATCAGAAAATGGACTTTGGGCTAGTTGGAAGCAGAGTAAATATTACAAGTTGAGACTTAAGATATCCATCATTAACTTCTAACTTGTAAAAATTTTAATTCTTCATATCAACATTCATTTCTAACTTGTGTACCTTTTTATTTTTAAATGTACGTTTCAAATTGAGTAGTTAAATGGGTCATATTATACTTTTTCTGGTTTAAATGCTCTTTAGTGTGTTTTGTGCATGTTTAGGCACATCTATGTGCAAAAATTCAAAGTCTGCGGAAATGCAGCTTCTCCTACGTCCTCCTGTTAGCTGCAGCGTTAGCTGCATGTAACACTCGATTCTAGCCCCCTTCAAAAAAATGTTGCCAGTGTGACATCTTGTCAGTGTGATATCACTGATCTAAGCCCATTGGCTCGTTGTGGAAAGCCCTGCAGCTCATGTTGCACGCCTATTAACTTCTGTAGCACGCCCACGATATGCCGTAGCCTGTGGTAGCACAGTAGTGCTAAGGTGCTAATGTTTTTGCTCCCTTCGGAGCCAAAGTGGCTGCATTCCCAATATGGTAAAAGGGGCGTGGCACAGTATGTTTTGTGCTAACATTTAAGAACTGTGGTTGTTAGTTTGTATCTTAAAGGTACAGTATATTTCCATAGTCGCAATTATGAATTAATGTCAAAATTAAATTTTAGGCATTTAAATGTAATTCTTGTGACAATGGAATTTAGAGGATCTATAAATAGAATATAGATACAATGTTTATCAGTCTGATAAGACATAAGACACTTCATTATCATTGTATGCAATACAACAACATTTTATTGGTGACAAACAAGACCCTCAGAGAAACGAATGAATCAGAGGTTTTTGTGGCCATGAAAACCTGTTTAGTGTATACAGAGGACACCCCCCTTTTGTTTACTTCATTGAGATAACTACTAACCTAAGTTATTTGACTGACACCCTGGAGAAACTGTAGAGGTAGAAGGCTGAATCAAAGTTGTTCTATAAAAAGGTTTCTATGAGTTTGGTTTTTCACTTAAGAGTTGAATATCAAGCCCTCTGCTATAAGGATTTTTTACATCAGCCCAAACCTCTGTAGATGTTTCTGACGATGTTCTGTGCTGTATAACTTCATTTGTAGGTAACTCTGAGGAAGGACCACGACAGCCATGACTTTGGTTTCAGTGTATCTGATGGGCTACTGGAAAAAGGAGTTTATGTCAACATGATCCGACCGGATGGTCCTGCTGACCAGGCGGGGCTGAAACCTTTTGACCGCATTCTTCAGGTACATTTTGTTTCAACACATTTAAAAAAAAAAAAAAAAAAAAAACATTTCAAGAAATTAAACATTTTTAAGAACTTGCTTGTCGTGTAATGTCATGAGCTGGTTGAAAAGTCGATATGCTTAGACTGGAAGCAAAGAATAATTGTCATTAAGACAGGCTAACCACTACCAGGCTCTTATTGAGAAATGGCCTATGTTTAGGCTTCTTGCTTTCTTGCAGTTTCTTAAAAAATATTGACACCACACATGTTTTGTTCAGTATGGAGTTACAGTTGGGCAGTGGTTAGCTTAGCTTAACTTATTTCAGTGACAAGAAATCGTTTAACGTTAGCCAAGTTGTTTGTTGCTGTGCTAAATTACTGGTAGAAACTTAAACCAACTACAAACAATTTAGTTAGCACATTTATAATGTTAACCTAAAAAATAGGTTTAGGTGTATATTAAGAACATTTTTTTTCAACTTGTTACAATATTGCATGTCTTGCCTTTATGCTTATTTATGCTTTTTTGCTTTATTTTCTAAACCGTGTCAGGCCAGTGCAGTTGATGATTTTCACTTGTATCTGGTCATTTTCGAAACCTGTTGAATGTTAAACTTCATGAATTCTGATCTTCAAGGTGAACCGTGTGCGGACCAGGGACTTGGACTGTTGTCTGACTGTACCTCTAATTATAGAGGCAGGAGACAGCCTGGACTTGGTCATTAGCAGGAATCCTCTGGCAGCAGACAACGGGCTGCCCAACGACTATGACAACCCCTCGAACTCGCTGTTCTGCTATCCTGAGCGCAGGACCAACACAATTGCCCTGTGAGCACAAAGACACACAAACACGAGCTTTAAACACAGCACTGCTGGGACCTCACATTGCACACACATATCCTTCATGCACGGTTAAGTTTGTCACATTGTACCTCTCACACAGACCTTCACACTCATGTCCAGCACGCGGGGCATCCAGGAACAGACGCCTGAAAGCATCTCTCACTCACAAAGTTACAAGTGCATGTGTTCATGATTGCCAGTTTTAGTCACTGTGTTCACATGATGCGTTTCAAAAGGAGGTTCTGGCTTTAGGGCACCCCCCCCCATCCCTCATCCACCTCTTCAGACTCCCGAGGCAAAGCCACATGCAGGTTATATAACAGCGGAGTCATAGCTTCAGACTGAGCCAGGTTGCCAACACACATGTCTCAGCTGTGAAGAGAGTCTTATGCTGCACACACAATATGGACACATCCACTCTTTTACTTTCATGAGCTTTATGTTTCCTTTGAAAGAACATTTCTCCAATTGTATTTTTCTTTTTGTTGTGCTCAAGATACACACATGCACTCAACACAGACTGCACACAGGGTGTTGATGGACTCAAGGTTCAAGCCACATTGGGCGTCTTAGAGTTATTTCAGCCAGGACTTGGATCACTGCCCTTATTTCCAGACTCTCCTTCTCACTGCCTACCCTCGAGAGGGGACAGGGCCTCCAAATAGACAGAATCTGCTACTTGCCAAGTATAATTAGCTTAATTTTAAGGCCCCTTGCATCTTAATTTGTTAATAATTGAGGACACTCTTCTCGTTTTGGTTTAAAGTGTCTTTTAATGGTTCAACAGAGTCCAGCGTTAAGATATGAGTCACTTGGATTTTTGACTCTGGCTTGATGACTCAGCCATATGTTTCCAAAGATGATATTTTAATTTTCACAGTCTGCACACCATTTCTTTTTTATCCTGCATTTGCACATAAAACACATTTAAGTTTTTTTGTTGTTGCTTTTTAAGTTCAGCCTTCACTCTCACTTTTTCACATTTCATTTCACTGTGTACATCTGGGACTCTACGTGTGGCATTACACCAAAATGACTTATGATTTGTTGTCCATCACTGACACGTCCTTAAGCAAATCACATCCTTCCCCTAATCAAGGATGAAATGCCTTTCAGTTTTCAGTGATGAATGATTCTCTTGCTTTTACACCACGTAAGGCCATTGATTTAAAGTTGAGTTTTTCTCTGCAGTATAGCTGTTTCACCCTAAAGTATGTAAAAGCATGTTCGGCATGCATATGGTTTGTCCTCGGCAAGTATTGCTTATGAATAGACGGTAATGGAGTCATCTCTATTTGCTCCTACAGTACACATTGTTTTTATAAAGCTTTGTCGTACTGCCTCTGGAAATAAGATGCATATTCTTTTTTTTACATCTCAGCTGATGTGAAGAATGGTGCGATAGTTCCAGTTTAGAGGAGCCTTAGAGACTGTTTATCCTTGGGAAAGTAACTTTTTTTTAAATCTGTTTTATGTTATACCTTATGTGTATGAAGAGGCCTATTTTAAAGGTTTTATAATAATTTACTGTATTGTACCTTAAATTTTACTCTAATGTATAATTGTATGCTGTGCTTTTTTTTTTTTATTTACAGTGCAGGCACATACAGTAAACTATCTTCATGTAATATGTGATACTGAATGTGGCTTCACAATATTTGGTTAATATCTACATTCTCCCTGAATAAGTCAGGAATTGTTTAAGAGGAACTTGAAAGATTTATTTGATATTTTATTTTTTATTTAATTTATTATGAGATAAGAAATGTATTTCTTTTTATGGAATTAAAGTTATCAAACTGGTGGATTTAGGTCTGGTTTATTAACCGCGTTGATTTGGCTCTCTTAATTTATTCAGTCCTTCATGTTTAACTTAAAATGACATTTTATGTTTATTTTTTTTACAGTCATTGAGCTCCATCACATGGTTAACACTTAGTTTTTGTCCATTTATCTGCACAGCTAGCTGAGTTTGACGTCAAGGGCAAATCAGAAAATGTTACTTTATAAGCTACATAGTAAATATACAGTACCTACCTAAAATCAGCATTTTACTGTTGACATTGTTTGTGTGTAAGCTTTTTGATATTAACAGTCCGATAACTCAAAACAGTACAGTGCTACTAGCATGGTTGTTCACTTAGCCTTTGTCTGAAATGTTCTAAATGTACTTCTTTTCACTTCTTTCTTTTTTTAATTACTATTTCAGTAATATACATAAAACATGGTACCAAGTGTTTTCCTGCTAGCAAGTGCAAATTGGTAGCATCTTAATATTGGCATGTTTAGTGTTTACTTAATGCATTCAGCAAATTTAAGTCAGATAAAAGCTGTGCCAATGTGTAGCCTCACAAAGCATCTAAAATTTCAGTGGATTGAAACTTTTCAATATAGGCTACATATCCGTTCAGGAAGTTTTACATAAAAATTGTACGGTAGGCTACTTAGCAAAAAATCAACAACCAAATGTTAGAATAATACCGTGCACTCTAAACTTTAAAGGATGATGCCAAAGTGATGTCACCCATCTGTTACTGCAGGGGGCTTTGGAGTCCCATCGATGGAGGTTGCCATGCTGGAAATGCTGTCTCACCCTAACATTCAGTCAACACATATAGGCTAAGAGCTGGAGCTGAGGCGGGTTTTAAGCCCCTTTACAAACCGTTACATTGCACGCACCTGTCAATCATGTCTGCTAAGCGACTTATTGCGAAAAACTTTTATCCTTCATAACATCAAAACGGAAATGTTGTTGAATAATTCACCTCCTGTACCGTTTGTGAAGATGTTCTAAATTGTAAAGAGGTCTAAATTAAATAAGCTAAATGCTATGCCCAATGACCGGATCAAAGAGCAAGCATGGTTGTTGATATGAACCATGTCCAAAAACTATACTAGTCAATGGCTTAAGGCTGGTCCATTATTTACTTTGTGCACTGATGGAAAAAGTGTCCACCAAGTGACGGAAATGCATCTGCAAGCCAGGGTAACGTTTTTACAAACTGGTGAGCTCAGAAACTCATGTTGATCATCCAGGTGACGTGGTTTAAAATCTTTGGGGGTTCAGTGCCTCAAGCGCTTTCGACAAACTAGACACCAGAGACGTGCCCAAATAAGCCAGTCCCATATTTGTGGGTGAAATGTCAATGTAGTTACCACCTGTCAAGGGTGTTAGATTGATGTAGGGATTGACCCCCTTAAAACATTTAGGGCAAACGTCAATGAGCTGGCACAGGTCAGAGGGGTGGCATCTGTATTATCCACTCAACAGAGGATGATCAAACACATAGAGATAGCTATTTAATTGGCAAAAAAAGACCTATAACAACTTTTTCTAAACCAAAGACTAGAGGCTGTGCACACACTACCAAGCAGTCATCTAGATTTGATGTACTGTAGTTAAGTCATCTTGAAATTTAAGAACTGCAGTGATGTCCAGAGAATCATTCCTGCAGGGCCTTAAGGCTTACCAGGACAGATAAGATGATACTGTGATGAAATTCTACATCTAAATCATCTGTGCGATGCTAGAACTGCTTTATTAAGCACACAATTCTTTTGATATCCCGTCACGATTACTGTGAACACTGAATGCAGCCCATGATTAACAACTTAACTGGGTGAAATGAAATAACTACCAATAAAATACTTGGTTGTTACCACTTGGTGTCATTAAAGAAATGTTTTTTGGGGTAACTACTGTTACATATGAGGATATCGTTGATAAAATGATAACAGCTGACTTGCTTGTTCTCGGATTGATTACAATGTGTCAACGACAAAGCCCAATCGTTTACAGAAAAAATGGGACATATTAGTAACTGAATCATACAACAAAATTATACAGTACCTGTTAATCAACAAAAGCTTAACATTTTAGACTTGTCCCTTAATTTGATCCTAAAAAATAATTACATATTTATGGTTATAAAAGTGTCAGATGTGCCAATAATGTTATCTTTGCATGAATAATGAGGAATAAATGCTTTAGAGAGTTTCATATTTAGAGAATAAAAAATGCATTAACACCAAAGAATTCCAAAGAAAAAGATGTTTATTTGTAATTCATATAGAAATTATGCAATGTGCATCTCAAAGGGGACAACTGTGAGACAAAAATACTTTGGTAAACTTGAATTTCCAAGTAGCACGAGAATTTGTTTATGGACTCAGCACGGTACACTGATGACTCCTACACATGCTCCAGGATAACAATTCCTTCAGTATTTCATACATCATTGAGCATTACAATTGTTTTTGATTTGAAGGTGTATTTTGAGGGAGCAGGGAATGCCATTGCTTCAATGAGTATTGCACACTGAAAAATGTCATCCAGGCTCCCCATGAGGTCAATACTTAGAAGACAAATTGCTTGAGATTTCAGTACAATTAATTAATCAGTGATGGTGTTTATATGATGTACAGTATAAAATTGTTACAAAAAGGCATATGTGATTTACAAACAGTTCAAATTCTACAAATACAAATGCCTAGACTGAACATTACAAACTAGAATCCAGTGGTACTGCTGCTGAAATATGAACAATGAAGAGAGCTGTATGGATGTTAAAAAAAGTAATGTTTTTACTTTTTTAGTGATGTTCTCACAGATCCCACTAACATTTATTATGACTCAGAATGTTTGGTGTCAGATAACTTATTATTTTGCCCTTGTCTTAGCAAGGAGACAACTAGATACTGTATATCAAAGTTTACAATATCAAAAAGTTAGAAGCTAAAAATATTTCCTCCTGAATGTGTTGCAAATGTAACTGCAATACCTTGCAGCAATAATAACAAACACTACAATAAAGTTGAGACAACATATAAAGTGCAAAGAGAGGTTTCAATAAATGCACTGGGACTGACTATAGTAGTCACACAGGCAGTGTACAAATACTCTAAAAATGCCACTTCCCTTTTCTCCTGACTTCCTCTTCTTCAGCGGACGGATCTTCTTATGAACGCATTTCTCACAGTATTTGGCCAAGGCCATGTTCAACTTGTAAGCAAGATGTAACTCTATCTTTAACTGCATATTGCCACTGAACACATTATGGATTTGTTCTATGACAGTTGTGGGGGGCTCAGGTTACATTCATTTTCACTGCGGGGATCAACAACGACAACAACAAGAGATAAGAAGTTAGCTTGGGCACCAACGATGGCCACAATCACTTGAGCAGGTTTGGACGGTTTCTACCTTTTACATAGTTAATAACTCATTTAGTTAGTTACAGTTTGTCAATCAAGAATTTCCTCTTTTCTTCTATTACACCAAAAAAAAAAGTAAATTCTTCATCTCTCCGGAATCAATAGAAAGGTAGTAAACATTGAACAAGTTCTATCTCAAAATACTGCCTAAACTGAGATCAGTGCCAATTACAGCAACAACAATTGAAACATCAACAATATTGATATAGTAAAAATTAAAAAAAAATACAAGAGAAAAAAATACAACAATAATATATAACTCTTCATAGAAATCAAACCAAAGTATCTCTAACATGAATATACTGGACAATGTAAACCTACCATTATCAATGTTAGCAAATATGATAACACAGAAAGCACATCAATCTTATTCCTCTCACAGAGAGCGCTCACATCATTGTTTCTACAATGGTGTGGGTGGGCTTCATCAAGCCATTGTTCTCGTTTGGGTCCAGGGGCTGTGTCAACTCGTTGCCCTTCAAGTTGTACTCTTTCGGGCGAGAACTCACGCCTGACTTCGCCGGGGCTGCCACAGCTTTGATCCTCTGGGGGAAGGAGATGAGATATTAGGCTAGTGATCACAAGAAACTAGGGCAGTTGAAGGCCCAACATGACAGTTATCAAATGTAGAATGACAAATATCACGACTCAGCATGTACCAGACTTGTCACTTTAAATCAAATTCACATACGTCAATGCATCAAACTGGCTTTGCTAATAGAGTTATTAAACTGGGATTAATAACGTCACCTGAATCTGAATCCAAACATTTTACATAACATAAGAATGAACTTTATTGCCTTGAGTCAGATGACGAGGTAAAAGTCACATCTTTATTCTACATACGAATGTACAGCCATTAGCCCATTAGCCAAGTCTAGCATAAAGAGTGGAAGCAGGTTGAAACAGCATCTACAACATTGTTTCCTGCAACTTCATGGCTGAGCTACACCAACTTATTTTTTGATACTTTCCCAAACATATCATGTTAGCTATAGATATTGTTGTGTAACTTGAGCTAAGACTGTAAGATTGTAAGACTGTAAGATTAATTGAACATTAAAAATGTTTTGAATGTCTTGAATCATAAAATGGACATCAGATGGAATTGATGATTGTTTGATGTCCTATGATAACAATGGCATGGAGCTACACCCTCTTCTTTTTGATAAGTCTGTAGACATGTTGCATGTTGGCTATGTAGTTAATGATTCTTCAACGTACTTTCTTATGGGGCTTAGGTAAACAACCTTCTGAGGCAATATGTCTTAATGATATCTGCTGGGAGATGGATTCTGTAAGACTCTGAGCCATGTTGGGTGTTTTCCTCTGTTACAAGTTCTTATTCTAGGCTAAGAATGCCATATCTGTAAAAATGTCCATTATGCATGGATATAAGAGTGACGTCAATCCTCTTGTAAACTTTGGCATTTTTCTGAAAGCTTCAAACTCTTTATAGAAGGAGCAAAAGGTTAGGTTGAGAATACTGACCTCAATCAGGGGTCCCTCAGACTGTAAGATCTTGATGACCATCACCATGGGGATGCAGATCATGGAGGACAGGGCCAAACACCACCCCAGGCCAATAGCCCAGTCAGGGTATTCGTACACCTTGTTATAGGTCAAGGGCTTGTACTTCACCAAGGAGAAAACAAAGCAGCCCTGGAAAACAGACACATGCCTCTTTAGGAAAAACTCCAATGCTTGTCTGTGACCTTAAAATATGAATGTTTGTCACATGTGCGTGTCCATGACTCAGATACAATAAAGTGGCAAAAGATACAGCTCTAAAAATCTCTCACCATGCAGAGAACAGGAGTGATTATGGTCCAGCTCCATTTCATCCAAGGGTTTGGTCTGTAGCCAATCATGTCCTCAATTCCATCGTAGAACTTATCAACTCCTAGAACACAAAGCAGAGAGAATTAAAACAAATTGAGCGCTTCTTTATTCTTCAACAAAGTTTGTCAAAATATTGGATATGTTACATAAACATCAGGCCTAACAGTTCATCTGTGATACCTTGTTTTTACAAGATGACCTTCACATTAACCTCTGGATTTTTGGCAGGTTTCATGGCCCGTGTGTTATCTGTGTTGTCTGCCCTCAATGCCTCATGAAATTCCACTGGGTCATGAATGATACACTGTTATCTGAGTCTTAACAGTCTCAGCGTCATAACTTTCTTCCTAGGTCATCACTTTTTCTGTTTTTTGTGTTCAATGTGCCCTCAGTAAGCCTGATGTTTTTTCTGATGCCTCTCTGTAACTCCATGTTGTTTGATTCCGTTTTGAAAAACACCCGGAAGAAGGAAACTGGTAATCTGGAGGTTTGGAGTGTTGAGGAAATTAAAAACAACACAATCTGCAATCCAACATTCTTGGTCAATTCAGTAACTATTACATCTTTAGTATTACATAACGTTTGCTGATGCTAGGATTTGCATATTGGACTGGCCTCTTCTCAGGGCAGCAGAGGCCATGGGTTTTTGTATTATATAAATCTGTGCAACATTCCAAAGCTATGCTAAAAACATGAATTCTCCACAGAAGTTAAAATTAGTAAAGGTAGAGGCCACAACATAAATCTACAAGATTGTAACATAATCAACAGGCAATGAGCAATTTTATGTTACATGGATGATTTCATTAAATGAAGATATTGGCAGGGAAATACAGATGGGGACCACCTCTGGCTCAACTTTACAACCGACACTATAATCCTCAGAATCATGTGTTCATAAATCCTGATGTACAACAGAAACTCCCGTGAAAGGGAGCTCAGATGAAAAAACTAAATATCAAAATCATGTCACTAAATCAGCGTCTTGGGGACCGATTTGCCAACACGGTGCATAGGGAAGTTTAAAGAACAGATGAAAGGATCAGAAGGCTTCATGGAAATATTAACATTTTAACTAAACCTGTTTATTATTGGGAAACAAAGCCTTGCCACAGCCTTGCTTTCACTCTTATTTTAGTCGCATCCATTTGCTGAATGTTAAAAGATGAACGCTGGATGCAAAATGGTGGGAGTGATACTGGATAGCCAATCACAATGAAGCACGGGACCAACCCCATAATCACTCCCCCCAGCCCCTCACACCCCTGCATGCAGTTAAACATATTTACTACTGACTTGGAAAGATGTCCACAAGGACATCTTTGTTTACCAGCAAAGACATCATGTGTGCTCTTCAGGATCATTACTTTTGAAAAACGACACACACTGATACAAAAACCCGTCTTGTGGAGTCGTTCCCACTTACCATAAACCCAGGCTACAGCGATGCATTCAAAGAATGCCACCCACAAAAGGCACACACCACTGGCTGCATAGTAGTCAAAGAGTTGAAACACATACATGCCACCCTGGAAAGAAAAAGAAAAAGAAGAAAAGAAACACAAATTATCTGTCAGATTTTTGTAGAAGAAGAGAAAGTCACAGAGACAGAGGGGGGTATAAATAATAAGAGGGGGCAGGATGGGGGGTAGGGTGCTGAAAGCAGCGCACAAGAATGCCTGGCACCCTACCAACAGAGGCATAGTTCAACAGGTGCTACGGCGTTATTAAAGCATGATTAACGCCCGAACGGAAAACGGCATTCCGAATTGTTCCATTCAGACACACAGAAAGTGAGCGATGAAGGTGATAGAAAGCCATATTTGGTCTTAACGATGAAGCAAGTGGAAAATTCTGTGACGTTATCTCTGCTGTGGATCCGAATCAGCAGGGTGTCTTTTTTTCTTCTCTAAACAGGATGAGGAGCAAAAGGTAAGAGCTCAGAGAGCCCTTAAAATGACTGTCGGGTGAACTTACTTTCGTTACCATGGCGAGCCCCAGGAGATAGCTTATGAAGCACATCACAGCTATAAAGATCTCCCGCCGGTAACCCTTCCTGAGGAGGGCTGGGTAAAGATCCACAATGGAGGTGATCTGTCCTTCCACTTCAACAAACTGTGGGCACAAAAGCAACTATTAAGACCTCCAAGGAATAAATACATCAATGTGTCTTTCTGTGTTGCTTGTAGCTTTTGTTTTCTATCTATAAACTAGTGGTCAGAGAATAAGAGCCGTCTTTGTTGGACTATAATGAGAAATTTAAACAGGGCTCCTCTCTGCGACACTGGTTTGTTGCTACCAAGACACAACAGCAACCAAACAACAGTGAATCACTGTCTTCCTCTCCTACACCATTTCTCTCTCTTTCTCCCCAGTGTCTTCGTATTGCCTCATAATGCCATAACAAAATTATGAAATTGTTTCGATTTATCAAAGCAAGATGTCTGCATGCAAAGAGAACATTCTCCTTTGTTTCCTGAGAACCCAAACAAAAACCCCTTACATAACAGAGGCATGTATATGTGAGGGACTTAGACAATATAAGGCATTCAGGGCTGTAAATCTGCCTGAAATTCATGGTCAAAGAGTTCACCCACACACCCATGAACACTGTTACTGGCAACATTTCTCTCATTGAAATAGCCGCACTCGCAGAAGTATTTACATGTGCTCAAATTTAGAGCTTGGGCATGATCTCGCAGTTGGCTGAGATGAGTAGCCGGCCATATGCAGGACTGAGTTAGCACAGGGGGTAGAATTACACTTGGAGGGAGGAAATGTGATCTAGCCGGAGAACCCCTCGGGTGGACACTTGTGTTTTGTCTACTTAGATTATCTTGTCTTAATCAAAGCTCTGCCTCCTGCCAAGGCTAGATGGCTTGCATGTGTTGCTGTTATAATGACTTCTGCTAACAAAAACATTAACAAACAACACCATGCTTTTAAAAATGTTTTTGAGTGAAGACAGGGCATCAAAAAGGGCTTGATCCTCTCAGAATGGTAGTAAAATACCTTAGTGTGAACAGGCTGCTTTTCTTGTCCACCTGTTATCTGATCCCTTGCAGACGTGAGATGTGGATCAGAGAGACACTAAATGTGTTTTACACATTGCGGCTGACAGGAGCCAACTAACCCATGGTGGCCTGATAGGTGTCTGCGTGGAATTAACGGGCGACACACCAACCAACTCTTCAGTACTTAGCCCCACAGAGGGATTGCGAGAGTGCTGACCTGGCTGTCGAGGCCTAGAAGCAGCAGCATGATGAAGAAGAGGACGGCCCACAGGGTTGGCATAGGCATCATGGACACAGCTTTGGGGTATGCGATGAAGGCCAAGCCGGGACCTGTAGGGAAAACAGAGTGGGGATGGGAAGAAGGGAGAAGGACAGGATTAATATTTCTGCCTGGTTTCAGCTCGGACGACAAAGAGATAATGAGATAATGTAAAGACTGCTTTAGAAAGGCTGAGTAGGGCCTGGTAATTATCTACAGAAGATATAATCTTACATCTCCAACTTTTGAAAGAAATGCGTTACATTTCACGTATCGAGTGTATATTCTATGTGTGGAGTGACTATGAGGAAATAAAATTCCCCTTTGAGTGTTGAATGTACACCCTGTCTCTTAACCATAAACATATTACATAACTGCCCACTGTTTACACAGGGAGATTCCAGACCAATCAAATGCACATACTAATTAGGCTCTGTTCAAGTGGTTACACTTAAATATCAGAGCGGCTGTACATGCAGTTTATTGTTTTACTTCTCCTTTTCCCTAAATGGAAACCATTCATCCATGCTCCTTTCTACTGTGTGCTAGTCTGCTTCACAGCACTTTGCTGTACTGATACTTCATGTGTGCATTTACAAATCTAATCTTTAGAAAAGCCATGAACAGGTTCAATAGGATATCATAAAGGTACAAGACACAAAGGCAGCAATCACATAAACCAGTGCCTCTATTGAACTGACAAAATGCAGGTCATTTCACTATAAAAAGTGCTTAATAATAATAACTTTTTTTTTTACTTATATAGCACCTTTAATTCATAATGGTCCATACTGTTTTTTCATGTATGTACACACTAACATGCTGTCACAGATTTTCTGACACTGCCATACACTTGTTTGATTTCACATGAATATATTCAAATTACAGAAATTAAGACAGCAAGAAATTAATTTGAAGTGAACAGAGTGAGCATGCTGAAAGAAGACCCATCTCCTTTAAGTCCACATAGAGTAAAAGAAAAAAACAAAGGCAGAAACAGAACCAGTGGCGACCATCTCAGGAGATCCAAAGGTTGCTGGCACGACTGGGCTTACCACCTCGAGCAAGGAGCGGGTTGAATGTGAAATATGAGGACACCTAATGCCAATGAACAACTGCAATAACAGTGATGATGGCCCAATGCAGGAGCTCTGTAACAACGCAGTTCATTGTGTTGCTATAACACACAGTACTGACCACTGCAGTGCCACCTGTCCTCAATAAAGGTGGACCATAGTTCAAGCTGACGTCACAGTTCTGTTTCATTGAGGCTTTCTAATCAAGGAGTGTGCAATTGCCGATACCTCTACATTTTAGCATCATGGTTTCCGAGAATACAAATTTTTTTCTGAAAGTGTTTTCATCCATTATTTTTCTTTTGCTAGACAAGCGCATTTGATGAGTATCCAATTGGTTTTTTTAGTTGTTTTTTTTGTTTAGCAGCAGCGCCCACCATCACTGCTGCTATCACCTTGGACCCTCGTACCTGACTCTGCCACATCGGCAATGTCCACCCCTTGTTCTTGTGCCATGAAGCCCAGGACGGAAAATATTGCGAAGCCAGACACAAAACTGGTACCGCTGTTGAGGCCTCCCAGCAGCAAACAGTCCCTATGTCACACATATTTCATGGAGGTTGTTAATGAACACAGGCGGAACCGAAGTCCCCATTTTTTTTTTTTTTTTTTTTCACGCAACCCTCTCTGTCACGAGTTGCTGTCACTACAGTCCCAATGCACCTCCCCTTGGAATCACAACTCACCTGTAGCAGTTGTATTTGTATTTGTTGTAGCTCCCAAGTGACGTCATGGCTCCCAGGCAGATGGCATAGGAGAAGAAAATCTGGGTTCCTGCATCAATCCAAACCTGAAACACACCAAAGCAAATAAATAACATGTACTCGGGATTGTTAAAGTCTGATCAGAGTTAGCAAAGCAAGAAGAAAACAAGTCTGCTTGGTTTGATGTTAGTCCAAACACTCCTTAGATCACATTTAATGGAGTTAAGTACCAAAAAACATACAACTTTAATTTCTGTTCCTTCAAACAGCCAGTTAGATGACCAATGAGATCAAACTATTTCCAGGAAGCGCACAGTCCTGATGTCTAGTTCCCTGCCAAGTAAGCTGTACTTTAAATTTAAATGTTTATTTGTGGGCTGAATAAATCCTGGAGTGGATTTCATTTTTGGACGGAGCCAGGCTAGCTGTTTCCAGTTTTTATGCCTAGCTAGCCAGCTGCTAGTTGTAGTTTCACATTACCAAACTTCAATTTCATTGCGTCACAACATGCACTGTTAGCTCGTAATTCTACTTCCTGTGGTTTCATCAAGGGAGACATTTTATGAACGTGTTCCCCTGAATCAACAAAATATAGAACATAGGTCAAGTCGTTTCAGGCGTTCAATTCCAGAACTGTGCAAGATATGAGCAGGGTTTAAAGTAGGGGGCTTTTACAGAAAAAGAGGAGAAGAGGAGCATTTGATTAATACCTCTGGATCTTGTAGGCGGGTCAGGTTAGGGTAAAGGTAAAATTTGATCCCTTCAGATGCACCAGGCAGGGTCACTCCACGAACCAACAGCACGATCAGCATCACGAATGGGAAAGTTGCCGTGATGTACACCACCTAGACAGCATAAAGGAGCGTTAGCCAAAACACTTACAAACGGCACAAGTGTTATTGTCCTTGATCTAAAGTGGAAATAACATAACTTCCTTTTTAAGCTTGATTATGTAATTCAGACTGCTGGTTCATTGTTTTAGTTATTTCATTAACAGCCACAGAAGTCAAAATAAAGGGTTAAGATGAATTCTAAGCTAAAAAAAAAAAAAGAGCAAATATCTGGGACCAAATAACAACAATACCACTTTTCATTAAATCCAGAAGTAAAATCATGAATAATTCCCAATAGAGTGAATCATTTTCTTGCCACGGTCACTCCTGTCTGTGGTGCTTTCCCAGTTTCTCCCCACTAACAGAAACAGAGAAAGGGCGAAGGAGCAGCAATTCAGCTGTTTACAGCCGACAGTGAGTCTGGCCAACGAGTAACTTCCAGGACAGCATGGAGCCGTATGTTGCTAAATCTTGCAGACTAACGGCCTTCAATGCATGTGTGTTTTTTCTCCAAGCAACAGTGTTTTGTCAATGACTTGTTGGGGTAAAAAGTGAAGGCCAAAAAACCTCCAGGCATCACAGTAAGTACAGGATGTGTCCACGCCTCAGCACTCACTTTCCCTGTGGACTTGACTCCCTTCCAGATGCAGAAAAAGCAGATAATCCACACAGCCAGGAGACACAGGGCCAGGTCCCACTTCAGGGGCCCGATGTCCTCGATTCCAGAGGAGATGCTCAAGACGTTGCGTCTGCAGAGGACACACAGGCACATCAGGGGTTAATAGGAGTTTGTGGAACTTGAAAAGGGGAAGGATACGCTCTCACACACGGACAATGATGCCGTTCATGAGACATTTCCAGATTATGATCCCGAGAAACTAATCATAAGGTCAATAAAAGAAGTCAAACAGACACATGACTTCTGTGAAGTGTTGAGAGAAACTGTTTTGGAACAATGAAGTGTCAAATCCTTAAACACTTTGAATTTGGTGCTGTTTGTTGTAATGAAGTTTCATAAAAGTCAACTGTGTGTGGAAAAAAAGGCAATTTAAAAAAAAACTAGGTTTGATTGAATGGTACTTTACATTGGCACGTTTAGTTTGACGACGTCAAACTTTGAGCGCTGTACAAATAGAGTTGACAATGAACACCAGGAGAACTAAAAGTAAGGCATGCCTTTTGAAGGAATTGTGCCAGTTCAAACATATTTACATAAGCAAGATCAATAGTGTTACTGTAGCATGGATACTCACTCCCAAAACTCTGTGACAGGAGAGGTGAAGTTGGTAATGTTGGCTGTGATCCACAGGGTTTTGTTATTGCGGACTTTGTCCTCTATACAGTACTCTGTGTTCCATGGCTGTTTGCATTTTGCCCAGGGGAGCTCTGGCTGAAAGCACTGAAGCAGGTAGTAGAGACCCCAGGCCAAGATCACGATGTAGTAGACATTCAGCAGTGATACGATCACCACAGAGGCATAGCCAATACCTGCAGAGATAAAGAGGAGAGGGCACATATCATCTACTGGGGACACTGTGTTCTGTTGTCGTTGTTGTTGTTTTTAAGTCATATGTTAGGTTTTCACTTGTGTGATAGCGTCTTTAAAACATGCAATAATCTTTTTTTTTTTTTTAAGTTAGAGGCAGCTGGGGAAAAATATTTGCATTTTTGCCAATAAAGAATGTAGGTCAAACATTCACTCTCTTTTAGCTTGGAACTATCTTACTCTGTGAATGCTAAATAAGCCATGATGTTAAGCAGCACATTGTGCTAAGCAGCTAGCTGCCAGCTGTGTTCAGTGCTGTTTAAAAGTGAGCAGGTGGTTTAAAGACGTTTCTTTTAGAGCTTTCTTGCTCAACAAATCAATAGTTAAAGCCGTTTGAGTGAATCTTCTGTTAATAAAAAAAAATAAAAAGGGAACTATGAAGCAGCATTTGTACTATTAAGAGAGATTGGATATTTCATGTTTGGACTCCGATAAATTCTTACATACACCGTTTTGTTAAATGCAACTCATTAAATTATTAACTTGCTGTGTTTGCTGGTTGTAAATGAAGGTCCTTGAATAAAGACACATACGCATTAATGTAAAGGGCTCCATGAATAACGGTGAACAACAATTCAATGGAGCATAACGTACATAAATCACCGATATGGGCGTCTATACACAAAAATATCAGCTGGGAAAGAAAGAGTACCTAAATCTGACATTTGTTTCAAAAGAATACAATTCAAACTTTCTGTGACATAAAGTGGAAACTTTGAAATGGGAGGAAGCTAGCTTCTTGCTAGCACTTGTAGCCTAACGCTAAGGGCCAACACCAAAACATTCACGATCATGAATACAAAAGAGACTTCTTTGTTCAAGACAATATTAATCACAGCAGTGTTTGGGCTGGTGGCCCACTATGGGGAAATGTGGAGTCATTGATAATTCTCAGTGGTGTCATCACTAATGACAAAAAGGAGTATTATAATTTACTACTAAATATAATTTCCTTTCAGTGTGTCAGCACATTTTATGATCACTGCTGGGAGTGATTTCACATCTATCAGTGATATAAGAGTTTATATTGGGCAACAATTTCAACCAGTAAGGGCAGTAAAACACATTTTCTGCCTGATGTAAAACATTTTTTTAACAAGAATTATAGTAAAGTACTGTTATAGTTTTGAGACCACAGCCGATTAACTTGAAAGGCAGGGACAAATAAAAGGAACAGCTCATTCTTTACCGAGGGGAAATCTATCAAAGCTTTTCAGTAGTGTATCTACTCTTAATGTCATTAGTGTTTTTACTCTATTTTTAGATGACTTTGCCACGAACCTGGGGACAGAAATCCCTGGTACTCTTCTACTGCTCTAGAGTATTTTTAAATTCATCATCTCCGTCACCCCCACCTCCTCGTTCCCACATACTGAATGCAAACTGATAGTCAGCCAAAGCTGTGACAGGTGTGTGCGTGTGTCTGTGTGTATTTGACTGAGTGCAGGAAGTAAAGTCATATGTCTCCCTGTGATAAAAACATGTGAATGCAGGAGGTGGACAATGAGGAGATTTGTGATTGTTTTTTTTTTAACGGGCCACTTGTGGACTCTCTCTGCTGTGCCAAATGGACAGGCAGCAAACCTCAGCGCTCTGTGAATAGCAGAGCGACCGTTAGCAGCTGCTAGAGATCTGGTGCCGCACACTTTCCTCTCTTTCCATGTCACGTGTGATCATGAGTAAGGGCGTCACGGCAGCTGCTGAGGGCGTGGTGTTTCAGCGCTTGTCTTCAGCTGTCACTCAAAGGTAGACAGAGTTTCATTGAAGGAGCAAAGAAGGGCCTCTGGAGTGTCTTAAGAGTATCAGGACCTCAAGGTGACCTCAGGTCAAATGATCACCAGGAGAACCCGAACCTCACAACAGCGTCACAGAAGACACACAGTATTTATAGCTTCCTGTAGGCTCAGATGTTGAAAAAATGCTAATTTCATGTAGCCCTGCTATGTGAGACTGTACCCATTGCTAGGCAACTTGATGTCTTTTTAATGCGCTAAGTCTATTACCATGGCAACCAATAACTTGTAATTCCATCACACTTCAAAACCCAAGAATGGTTGAATGTTTTGAAAAATCTTCAAGCTTTTTGTGCCCACTTTATCTGAATGTTTGTGTGTGTAAGTACATAGACGTGTGTATGTTCAACCTGAGGCTGACCCTGTTTTTAAAGTAAGCGTAACAGATGTGAAGATGTCACTTTGTGTTAAGAGCTTTACATATTCAAATGTTGTTTTTCTGAGCTGTTAAACGATGTTTACTCAACTAAAAGCCGCTTGATGAAGAAAAAGGGGTCAAATTACACTGGGAGGGACAAAGGGTGGGAGGGGTACTTCAGCAGAATATTATGTTGAATAACGATGAATATGCAGATGGCCATTATTGTGTATGTAAGAGTGTGTGCTTAGGCTGACCGGTGAAGATGGGGCAGAGTTTGGCCCAGCAGGTGATCCCTCCCTCAGACGTGTACTGTCCCAATGCAACCTCTAAGAAGAAGACAGGCAGGCCTCCCCCAAAAAGGAAGATGAAGTACGGGATGAGAAATGCACCTGAGAGAAAACGGATACAGAAATAAGCTCAGAGTGAGACATCTCATCAAGCGTTGTTTTGTTGTCGTTGTTGCACCTGTTGTGCATCTTTCACCTACCTCCACCATTTTTATAACATAGGTAAGGGAAGCGCCAGACGTTTCCTAATCCGACGAAGCCTCCGGCCACAGACAAGACAAAGTCGAGCTTACTGGCCCACTTCTCCCTCTGAGGAGCCTTCCCTTCGGCCTCGTCCTCGGGCCGCGTGCCTGGGCTCTTCCCCGGCGAAGGTTTCAGGGTGTCCTTGTGAAAGTCCTTCAGGCATTGGAGCTTTTCTTTTTGTGCCATGCTGTGGACGGGGACATGGGGGAAAAGGGACATGAGACAAAGAGAGGGGTACAGAGATGAGCAGGATAAGGCACAGACATGGCAGAGTATTAGAGAGATAATGCTGTCTCCTGATTGCGTTACAGCATACTGTGAAACCACTGAGTACATAATATACAGTACTATGTGGCTAATCTGGCTAATCTGAGCACTTGATGCATGGAGGTCATTATGAGTAAAGTAAAGGGCTAAAACAGGGTCCTTCACATCCTTTAGTGAATACATTTAATTTTCTACACTTGAAAAGGAACGTCTATCTGTCAACGATCAAAGAATATATATGCATGTTGCAAATTTTAAAGGGTAAAACCGAAGTGGCAGCCAAAGTGCAGAACAATCACCCTGTGAAAGCATTTGCACCTTCACATTTGTGTTTTAGCTCTCTGCTTTCCAACTTTCTGTGTCCCAGGGTGGATTTTTTTGCAGCTCAGAGGGGGGCTCATTGTCACCGAGGGAACAGGAAGGGAACATTTGGACCCCGACACACACCTTAAAGTTCTGGCCTGACCCTGGCTAAAAACTTTCCTCTAGCTTTCTCTTTTGCAAGCAATAAATCAGTCTGCTGTAAATCCAAATTTAGAGAGGAAGATATCCCTGCGCATTCCCGAAGCCGCCGCTGCTGCGCACGGGAAGATACAACAGATTAAGTTCACTCGAGTGTTTACACTGTAAACGGACAGGATTTGTCATTAATGTTATTAATGACCGAGGGATCATATTTCTCGGCATGAGCCAAAGAGATGAAACTACGCCCTAATATGACAAGAATGAAAGTGTAAGTCATTTCTAGGATGAGTTCGATTTAAGATCCATGATGAAGATTAAGAAGAAGAAAAAAAAGGAACAATGAGAAAACTGATTTATTGTAAAATCTGAGATTAATTATAAGACTGTTGAGAAGGGTTTTGTCCTCAAGTTTAGATATGAGAAGATTTTAAAAAATTTTTGTATGGAACATTTTTTTTTTTTAAGTTTTGATCCCATTGCAACACTGACAAATGAATGGTAAGAATCCAAAATAATATCAAAACTGAAAACCGAGTACAACCATAATAGCAACTACAACAACCCCCCCTTTCTCAGGATCGCATGCATGCATTCAGAAGAAAGAGTCCTCTCACATTCCGACTGAGAACTATGTGTCTCTTCACTTCATCAACGCTTCAACAACAAGCCCTCCATCCCCCTGTGTGTCCACACAGCGTCCCGTCATTCTTTAGGATTTCTCTCTTCCTGTTATGCATGACAAGTCAACTCGGACCACTTTCCATTCTCAGTCCTCCTTACATAACTGGATCAGTTCTTGCTCACACGGTTTTCTCATCCTGTTTCTCTCTCTCTCTCTCTCTCCCCCCCCCACCTTATCCAATTTCCCACTCTTCTTCTGCTCGCGACTGTTTTCACCTGCTTGCAAGGTCTGCCAGCGACATAAGACTTAAACTGTCCTTGGGATTTAAACCAGGCATACTGGAAAGCACATTCCTTAACGCTTTTAAGAAAACATCTCAGAACAGAATTATTACACCTAAAAATCTCTCACTTTTAACAGAAACCAAAACAAAAGGGATAAGAAAAAACAATGATTAAAACATTAAGCAGTTTTCCCTCTATTTTTAACCTCAACATACAAAGAGAGTTTTTCAATACCCACTGAATTAAAAGACGTGTAGGGTTTCTACAAATCTTTTACATCTTTTAATTCAGCCAAATCATGAAAGAAAGACTTCAGTCCACACACACAAGTCTCCTTTTTCGAGCAAAGCAGTTGAGAAAACTTACATTTCCTTCATGGCTGCGGCTATGTATAGAGTTCCTCTCTCTCAGCTGTCACCATTCCTCTGTACTGAATGCCTTTATGCCGTCACGGGTCAGAAGAAGTGGAGCTGACAGTAGGACCCGCCCCTTGGCTAAAGACAATTAAATCCAAAGTGGAGATTGGACGCAGCCTGACTGTGACCGACAACTCAGGTACCAACGTGGGAGACTGTAAATTTCCACTTCCCACTACTCCCTGCCCACAAACATACACACACACACATACACAGTGAAGTGGCGGTGGTGTTGGTGGTGGTGGGGGTGCGTGTGTGTGTGTGTGTGTCACATACACACTTCTTATTCATGTTGGAGACACAGAGGACAAGTCAGATGGAAAAAGAAAGGCTGGGCTGCTCCAACACTGGGGGGGTTGGTCTTGAGTTATGATCCTGTACATGTGGACGAACTGAAGGCAGTTTTAGAGCAATAATATTAAGTCCCTCATAACATCCCCGTGCAACTTCTAAGCATCTTTGTGTGAAAACTATTTTTATTCACTGAGGTAATTCCTGACTTGTGGGACGTTCAGAAACACTGGCCTCCATTCTGTCCTGACTTCTGGTGTGTTATCTGGGAAATGTAAACCCGTACTGTAACAGCTTATAACATTTCCTAATAAGGTCATGTGCCTCCTCTGCTCTTCAACGGTCTGTTTGGATACCATTCACTGCTCCCAGAGCTCACAATGGTCAGACAAAAGCTGCCATGCAAATGTCAATAAAAATACTGAAGGAGTGCTCTGCGGTGGAGTTTGAAACTTAACTGAGGGACATGGATCATCTGATGACACTGTGCAAATGCACACCTTTGACACCTCTCGGCTTTGCACTGCGCTTTAATCTTTAATATTTTGGCTGGTTTCATGCACTGAATACTATTTGGGTTGCATAACCCTTCACAGATGCGGTCTAATCTATTGTGAGAGACTGCAGGATTTGTTTTTGAAGGTAGACGCAGCAGAAAGAAAACCCTATTTCATGTGGGTCATTTCATAGAAGAGAACTGCCCTTAAAAAGATTAAAAACTTTGCTCTGTTTGTTTATAACACAAAGCCCACAGAAAGCCAGGGGGAGTGGTTATTTTAGAAAAAAAGTGTAGTAAAGATCACTATTTGTTTCCTTTCACTTGAATCCATGGCAATAGTCAGGCTCCAGCTCGAAGGACCATGTTAAGAAGGGTTCAAAGTTGAGGTACTATCACCATGGGGCATCGGGTCAGGATGCAGTAATCCAACAAGACTTGAGTTTAGGTAACAGGTTTATTTCTTCAAATTAGGTAAATCATGAGGGTAACAGAAGATACACATGGGATGGAACATCCATGCTGAAAGACAAATAAAATATTAGCACAATAAACAAGTCAAATTAGATGACTTTCTGAAGGAAATAAAGATAAATAAAGCACTTAAAATAACTTAAAATGGACTAAATAGTAACTAAAACAGGAGTAACCACCACCTTAACATTGCTGAACTGCCACCCCATGTGAAGACGAAAACATGACTGCAGTCTTAAATAAGAAGTAGGCAGGTGAATTCAATCTAATTAACTAGTGACAGAGTGCAAACAACAACCAATCAAGGGGCAGAGGAGAGAGAGTGAGAAACCAGGAAGTGTACCCTAAGGAGGTGCAGTAGGAAAAGAAAGGAAGTGAAAGGAAACAAATAGTGATCTTTACTACAAAAAGGCAACATCATACATTCAAATACACTAATTCTAATTAGTGTATTTACAAACGGACAAATACACCATTCATTACTTTGACGATATTTCCTGAAACATGAGTTTTAATCGTGTCCTCTCTTATTTCATATTTGATCTGTGATTAGACTTTGGATTCAGATACTTTTAAGAGGGGCAGAAATGTGGTTTAGTGTTTGAGGAGTACAATGTAAAATCTAGGAAATCAAAGTGTATAATGATTATCCAACAGCATTGTCCCTTAATTTAGACCCAAAGGTATGATCCAAAACAATATAATATACCATAAGAAATCATACAACACCATGGGATACAATATAAAACACTTTATTGTCCCTTTAGCACACAGATGAACAGGAGAACTAATCACAACCAGAAATGGTCAGTATATAAAAACCTCGCACTTTGGACCCAGTGGTCTAGTTTAAAAATAATCATTCAATATTTTAAACTCTTGAAACTCTTAAAAGTCCCCTTTTGTAAATCAATAGGAGTTAAACTCTCAGCAGGGGACCTTCAGGGGTCGTAGACGCCTGAATGGCTCCAGATGCCTGAATGGCTTCAGACCCCTTACTTTGAGGGACTTTTTCTACCCCCACAAAAAAAACACAATACGGTGATCCTTGGGGTGTTATCCTGCTGAGAGGGGATGGGGGTTACTAAAACATCAACGTCAATCAATCACCTGCTGGAGGTGATGGAAACAACAGAAGTAGGTTAGTTGCGAGCCACTTAGTAGAAGATGAAACTAGTAAACGTCTTAGATCATCAGATTTACTTCAGCAGAGTCTTCAACATAGGGTGCATATTTATTTTCTGAATTCATGCATTCAGTGGATGTGGAGGATGATAGTGCTCCACAAGCCTGCAGATGACAATGAATGCATCCCCCCATACACGCACACACACACACACACACACACGCGCGCGCACACACACACACACCATCTGACTCAGTTAAGCCGTGTTGCGCCTGAACGCAGATCAGCAAATCACAGCAGACCTCCCAAACATGATCAAAGGGAGACGAGGACCCTGGTCTTTATCTGATATGAACACAGGAAACCGGGTTCAACGGCCACAACTTCTATTTTGAAGCCTAAACATGATTTACTAATGTTGTTATTCTCTCTTTGAAACAGGATCGTAAACAGACGCTTTTTTTCACAATAGCGTTATCAGCATGAAAACAACGAAGACAGAGAGCATCATGGCAAAAAAAAGGAGAGAAAATGCTCTCTGTTTACATGAGATATTCAAATTAACTGTCCGATATCAAAACGCGGCGACTAGTGACATTTCTGACGTAAAATGCTTTTAAGAAATAGGATTATATTGAAATTGCTGTTTTATCTGCTGTAGTAGAACTGCGATTCTTTCTTGCATTTTAATTGAGTTGAAACAAAAACATAAATTATGACGGACTTTATATGTAAAGAAGATGCCAGGTTACCTGTTCTCGTTTTATTGAGCAGCCTGCTGTTCCTTGTTTTGTTGCCTACGTTTAACGCTGGGTGACACAATCTCGTGTATTTTTCTGTGAGACCATTATATTCTACGGGCTGGTGCGCGTTTGGTTTAATATCAGTTTGAGTGGAAAATCACCAGCTACTCCAAGAGCTTTTCCATGCAACTACTTCTTAAAGCGACAGCCTCCCTTCTGAAGCGCTTCACCTGATTTTTCTATACAGCCACTAACCTACAGGAAGTGGCAATGAATGAGCAACTATCGTCGTAGCCTCTTAATCTTTTGGCCTTTTACGAATTGATTTACATCCACTTGTAAAAGTTGACAGTGACCTACAAAAGCATAGGCAGTTAGCGTGTATGTGATGTGCAAATACGTGCCATGCTCAAAGCCTGCTATACTGGTAAAAAAAAAAAAAAACACACGTAAAAATAGTTTGAAATCCAAATACCCCATTCAAATAACTTCGGAACCACATTCAATTAACCAATCAACCAATTGGTATTAGCTTCTGCTTTATGCTATAGCCTAGGTCATATAAGCTAAGAATAATGTTGTGTGTTGCCAGGTTGTTAAAAATTAAACTATCAAAACTTCTTTCTATATCATGTTTTTTTCAAGTGTTGCTAATTCATCAATACATTTTCCCGGTGGGTTTTTCCTCTTATCTAATCTAAGACATCAAGTCTGCAGTCATAAATGTTCAAACGTCATTAATAAATAGCTAAAATCTGCCACAAGTCTGTAGAAAACATTTTAATTTAATTTTAAGTTAAGACCAACATCAGGCGCTGGCAACATATCTGTACAAGTCTAATTCACAGTAAATGACAGCACAGCTTACATGCTGAACAAATACAGGGACATTTTTTTATTTTATTTAAGTGCGCAAGTTAGTGGAACTGCATTGTCACATGAATGTGTGAGCATCTTGACGTTAACATTTAGATCAGAGAACGTTTTGTCCTCTTAAAGAAATAGACTTTATATCTCTTGTTAAATGTTAAAAGCAGATAAACAAAGCAATTCATCAATCATTTGAAATGTTCCATATACATAAAAAGGTGCAGTGACATTTTGCTTGCTTACAAATTGTCATCCAGTGTAACTAACAAATGAATGGAAATGGTTTCTCATGTCTGTTAGACTTGTGCATGACGTTTATTGTAGTCAAAGATGCTTCAGACTAGTAATTGTCTTAATCCGGAGCCCCAGCCATGCCAAACAGATGGCACAGGCATGTGTTCGGTGCGTCATGTAAGGCAGGTTAAGTGTCACTCCCGAAGTATAAAGATGGTGACATTATTTCAAACCACACTAAGATTTTTGTTTCAGAGCGACATGTTTTCCATTTCGCAACATCCTCTCAAGTCAAATTGTAGAGTCTTTGTTTTGTATTTTCTATGCTGTGTATACTTGTACTTGCCTTCTTCATCGTGGGGCGAAAAAGCAACATCTCATGTCATTCTTGTAAAGCAAAGTGTGTTTCAAAGCCTGCCAGCCCCCTTGAGTTTCAGCATTGGTTGTTCCCTGTAGACAAAAGTTTTGTCAGCAGGACAACTGCTTTCTGATGCCGGAGGGCCAAATGACCAGGAAACAGGAAAGTGACTGAAAAAAAAAAAATGCAAGTTTGGAAGCTTGCTGTTTGTAGCTCTGACAAAAAACCAACCTTGAATCTAAAGTAGCTGAACAACACGTGGGGGAGAGGAAGCTTTATTGATACTTGCATCAAGTTGAAAAACAACAACATTGTTTGAATAGGTTTATTTAGACTTAGGTGCATACTGGTCTAAGATTTGAAAAAGGTCTTAAATGTCATTGTCTGACTGGTTTCTTGCATTAAAGCACCTATAAGTGTCCTGAAAGTACCTATTGAACCAGTCAGGTTCCACCTTTGTGTCACATGACTGCTGTGTTTGTGTGTTTGTGTGTGTGAGATATTAAATGAGTTAAAAAGAGTGATGGCACTATGAATTTGATGATTTTATGGATGACAATCATA